AATCTTTATTTATATCCACCACCATCTCCACAAAGGGGACTTGGGGTGGCTCATAATAATAATAATAATAATAATAATAATAATAATAATAATAATAATCTTTATTTATATCCACCACCATCTCCCCAAAGGGGACTTGGGGTGGCTAATAATAATAATAATAATAATAATAATAATAATAATAATAATCTTTATTTATATCCACCACCATCTCCACAAAGGGGACTTGGGGTGGCTCATAATAATAATAATAATAATAATAATAATAATAATAATAATAATCTTTATTTATATCCACCACCATCTCCCCAAAGGGGACTCGGGGTGGCTAATAATAATAATAATAATAATAATAATAATAATAATAATCTTTATTTATATCCACCACCATCTCCCCAAAGGGTACTCGGGGTGGCTTACATGAGGCCAAGCCCAAACAACAAGCCCAAAAAGGGCCCACAAGTGTAATATTTTTGTGTGGAAGGAAGGAAGGAAGGGGGGAGGGAGGGAGGGGGAGAAGGTCCTGCTTTTGGCCCCTTGATTGATTTCTAGGACTTGGCTTCCGGGGGGTTGGCGCCCTCCCAGCGCTTGGCACGAGCCTCTCGGCGAGGGATCCCGTACAGAGGGGCTTTTGTCTGGAGCCAGAACCCTTCGGCGCTCCTTGGAAAGGAGAGGGGTCTCTCTCCCCCTCTCCCCCCCCCACTTTATTTTCATCTCCCCGATTCCCTGGGAAAGCTCCCGGCCTTCTCACTGCCTTATTCATCCCTTGGATGAGAACCTGGACGGAGGCCGAACACAGCAAACTATAATAATAGTCTGAGGATGCCTTTCATAGATGCAGGCAAAACGACAGGAGACAATGCTTCCAGAACATGGCCAGGCAGCCTGAAAAGCCTACAACAACCCAATTGGTCAGGAACAGGCTGCCCCCCACCCTGCGTTGCAATACTATGCTATGCTAATAATTAATATAATATAATATAATATAATATAATATAATATAATACAATATATATACATATTATTGTGGGCACAATCCAACTAATTGATATTATTATTATTATTATTATTATTATTATTGTAGGCACAATCCAACTAATTGATATTATTATTATTGTTGTGATTGTTGTTGTTGTGGGTACAATCCAACTAACTGATATTATTATTATTATTATTATTATTATAAATTATTATTGTGGATACAATCCCACTAACTGATATTATTATTATTATTATTATTATTATTATTATTATTATTATTATAAATTATTATTGTGGATACAATCCAACTAATTGATATTATTATTATTATTATAAATTACTATAAATTATTATAAATTATTATTGTGGGCACAATCCAACTAATTGACATTATTATTATTATTATTATTATTATTATTATTGTGGACACAATCTGATATTATCATGTACCCGGGGGAGGGGGGGAGAGAATGAGGGGCGTCTACTCCTGGTCCCCCCTTCTGCCTCTCCTTCCTGCCACGTTCAGTGGGAAGCGTGGTGCCCCTTTCCCGAGGAGGGGCCCCGTGTTTGGCCTGGTGCGTGGGAGGTGCCCCCCGGCCACCCTGAAGACCCCTGGTGCCCCACTCACGTTTGACGGCCAGCAAGGTGCTTCCGTGGCAGCAGGAGACGGAGGCCACTTGGATGGGGTGGGCCTCTCCCAGGTGGACGGGGCCCGGGCGGCGGGTGTCCTCCTCCTTCCGGCCCAGGCGGCCCCGGGCACTTTTGCCCCAAGTGTACACCTCGCCATCTGGGAAAAAGGGGGGGGGGGTCACGACTCGGCCAACGGGACGAGGGGAAGCGGCACGATGGCACGTAGGGGGCGTCATCGCAGCCTCACCTGCTCCCACCACGACGGTGAAGGCGTCCCCGCAGCCCACCATGGCCACCTTGACCGCTTGGAGGCCCTCCACCAGGTAGGGTGACCGGCTGGAGCGGGAGGGGATGGGGCCCAGCTGGCCGTGCTGGTTGCTGCCCACCGTGAAGCACTGGCCTAAGGCTGCAGAGGGAAACACGGGAGGAGGGGGACAGGGGTCCGTTAGAACACAACGGGGCAGCCCTCTCATGACAACGTAGGAATGTCCAGACTCTAGCTGGACATCCAGAAGGACGCTTGTGCCAACTAGGCCGCCCTCCAGGCCGAACAGCCCCATTCGGACGCTCACCGGTGACCACGGCCGAGTGGGACGTCCCAATGTCCGCCCAGATGATGGCCTCTTCGTTCAAGGGGGCCGAGCGAGCGGGGCTGAAGAGCAGGGCCTCCTCCACCAAATCCGTGGGGTGGGACTCCCCTTGGGACGCCCCAATGCGGTCCAGGCCCAGCTTGTTATACCTGCCAGGGAGAGGAAGCAAGTCGATTTGGTTGCAGGGCAAAAGGGACAGATAGTAATAATAATCATCATCATCATCATCATCATCCCAGTGGGGATGGGCACACTGGGCACAGCGCCTCAGGACCTTGGCTTGTACTTAAAAACAACCAGCACTGACAAAATTACCACTGGTCAGCTGCAAAAGGTCAAAAGATTCATATGATAATAATAATAATAATAATAATAATAATAATAATAATAATAACAATCCCAGTGGGGATGGGCACACTGGGCACAGCGCCTCAAGACCTTGACCTGCACTTAAAAACAATCAGTGCTGACAAAATCACCACTGGTCAGCTGCAAAAGGTCAAAAGAGACAGATAATAATAATAATAATAATAATAATAATAATCCCAGTGGGGATGGGCACACTGGGCACAGCGCCTCAAGACCTTGGCCTGTACTGAAAAACAATCAGCACTGACAAAATCACCACCAGTCAGCTGCAATAGGTCAAAAGAGACAGATAATAATAATAATAATAATAATAATAATAATAATAATCCCAGTGGGGATGGGCACACTGGGCACAGCGCCTCAGGACCTTGGCCTGCACTTAAAAACAATCGGTGCTGACAAAATCACCACTGGTCAGCTGCAAAAGGTCACTCTGCTCAGATCTGCACATATTATTTGCCGATACATCACACAATCCTAGACACATGTGATCCAATACAAAAGCCAGCATCATGATCTTGTTTACTGTCGACTCATCTTGTTGCGTCTCTTAATAATAATAAATTAATAATACTACGACTAATAATAATATTATTTATGCATATAGACAAGCACACACATAGACACAATATGCATGTACACACATACACACATACATATACATACTCACACATATATATATACACACACATGCACACACATATACATTTCCACATACCTACATATATACACACAAATATGCATATAGACCACCACACACATATACACAATATGCATGTACACATATACACACATATATACATATCCAATGCACACACATATACATATCCACATACATACCTACATATATACACACAAATATGCATATAGACAAGCACACACATATACAGTATGCATGTACACATATACACACATACATATATATACACACATATATATACATATACACATGCACACATATATACATATCCAGATACATACATATATACACACAAATATGCATATAGACAAGCACACACATATACAGTATGCATGTACACATATACATACACACATATATACATATACACATGCACACACATATACATATCCACATACCTACATATATACACACAAATACATATATAGACAAGCACACACATATACACAATATGCATGTACACATATATACACACAAATACACAAATATATACATATATATATATGCAAACACATATATATACACCCACCTATATACACACGCAAACACATATATACACAAATATAGGCACACATATATACACAAAACACATATACACAGTCTGGGCCACAGCAACGCGTAGCAGGGGACGGCTAGTATATTATATATTAATAGGCTGCAGGATAGTGATGAGGGACAGAAGAGATGGACAGAAGCTTGCAGATTATTATTATTATTATTATTATTATTATTATTATTATTGCCTGCCTCTTCTTGTGCCTCAGGGTTAAAACAGTGAGATATAACAAAACAGTATAAAAATGCATCTAACGACAATAACAACAACAACAATAAGCTCTGGACTATAAACCCCAGCATCCTACAAGCAAGGACATGCATATGTATATATAGTGTATATCTATATATATATAAATGCTCATGTCATAATGACTGGCTTAAAAACAAAAGAATCAATGAATGAAATCACACCAAATTTGGCAACAAAACATCTTACAACACAAGGAGTGACCATCACTCAAAAAATTATGATTTTGTCATTTTGTAGTTGTAGTTGCTGGGATTTATAGTTCACCTATAATCAAAGAGCATTCTGAACTCCACCAACGATGGAATTGAACCAAACTTGGCACACAGGACTCCCATGACCAACAGAAAATACTAGCAGCGTTTGGTGGGCATTGACCTTGAGTTTGAGAGTTGTAGTTCACCTACATCCAGAGAGCACTCAAACAAGGATGGATCTGGACCAAACTTGGCACGAATATTCCATATGCCCAAATATGAACACAGATAGAATTTGGGGGAAATAGACCTTGGCATTTGGGAGTTGTAGTTACTGGGGTTTATAGTTCACCTACAAGCAAAGACTATTCTGAATGAACCCCACAAATAACAGAATTGGGGCAAACTTCCCACACAGAACCTCCATGACCAACAGAAAATACTTAAGGCCATCCAGTCCAACTTCCTTCACCAGGGCAAGAAAACGTAATCAAAACCCTCCTGACAGAGAGCCATCCAGCATAGATATAGATAGATATATATGATTCACACACACACAGATACACTATTATAGATTTGAAAGGGACTCCTAAAGATGGACAATTATATGTTGCATGTTCCAGAGTAGGCAAATCTCTACGTCAACACTGTCAAAGAAACATCAAGAAATACTGTTTACCCACAAGTATAAAGACGTTACAGCTAGTGTGTGTGTGTGTGTATGTGTGTGTGTGTGTGTGTGTGTATATATATAAATAAATAAATAAAAGCAGTGTTCCACACACAAGAATACAAACAGGTTATTTTGCACTTTTTAAATCCCTCCTTCCCCACCAGCACTCTAATCACTATAGAGGCCTACTCTATTTCTTCTGCATATAGCATATTGTCCTGCCGGCCAAAACCGCCGTGGCTCTGCTGGGCGCCTTCTGAACGAGGCTCCACTCCGAGGCCGCACTCAAGAGAGCGGCCCCTCTTGGAGACCCCCTCACCCCCTACCTGTTGCTCCCGCAAGCCAGGATCTGGTTCTTGGCGGTCAGGATCATGGAGGCGTCGATGCCGCAGAGGACCCTCTGGGGCTCGTGGTCGGCAGGGATGGTCACCTGTTGCGGGGAGCTGTGCGAGTCCTGGGTGCCCAAACCGAGGCGGCCTGCAAGAAGGAAGGAATGAAAGGAGGGAAAGGAGGACGAGAGGGAAAGGGCCGCTGACCCTCCGCCGCTCACCATTGTCCCCTCGGCCCCAGGAGAAGACTTCCCCTTCGGTGGAGACGGCCAGGACATGCGAAGCGCCGCTCGCCACCTGCGTGATCTCGTAGCCCAGCAGGGCCTCCACGATCTTGGGCTGCAAAAGGGTCAACATAACATCAAAGGGGGATGGACTCCAACACCCATGATCCCCAGGCACTTGGGAAACACGGGGAAGGCCCTTCCACGCACCTGGCTGACGTCCGTCAAGGTCTCGTGGCCCAAGCAGCCGCTGCTCCCGCTGCCAAAAGTCAAGACGATCCCTCTGTCTGTAAAGGGAAGTCGGGACATGAATCCGGAGCGGACTGCGTTTCCATCCCTCAACCGCACCTCAGGCTCAGACAATAATAATAATAATAATAGTAATAAACATAATAATAATAATAATAATAATAACAGGCTCTGCAGGACTGTAATATAAGACAAAAGAGATGGTCGGGAAGCTCAGAAAATAATAATGTTTTGCTTTGTTGTATTTTTGTGGGTTTACACCTGGTTAACTTCTCACACTCTCTGCCCAAAATGATGACAACAAAGGCCAACACTGACCCCTAGTGTCCACGGGCAGTTTGGCATCCGGGTTTTGCATAGGATTCTTACAGAGACCCCCAAAGGCCATCCAGTTCAACTCCTTTCTGCCGGACAAGACACAATCTGATCCCTCCAGGCAGATGGCCAGCCACCAAGACCCCTAGATCCCTTTCAAATGCTGCCCATCTGAAACCTGGGGACTGTTCAATGGTACCTGTGAGGCAGGTGGTGAAGAGGTCCCCGCAGGCCACGTGCTTGATGGTCACTCCCGACTGACCCTCCAGAAAGCGGCACACAAACTGGGGCTGAAATTCTTCGGTGGCCCCTGGGAGGGAGGGGCCCCCTGCTAAGCCCACCGGGGGAGGCTGGGGGAGGAAAAAAAGAGGGGGAAGAAAGAGTCGGAAGGGACCCCCAAGGGGCATCCAACTGAACCCTCTCCTGCCATAAAGGAAGGCACCATCCAAGCCCACCCAGCAGATGGCTCTCCTGCCTCTGCTTAATAATAATAATAATAATAATATCCTAGATTTGGAAGAGAACCCTGCCATGCAACCTGCCATGCAAGAAAAGAACATAATAATAATAATAATAATAATAATAATAATAATAATAACAACAATAACAATATAATAATAATAACAACAACAACAACAATAACAATAATATCCTAGATTTGGAAAATAACCTTGCCATGCAAGAAAAGCACATAATAATAATAATAGCACAGCATCATAGATTTTGAAGGGAACACTAAGGGCCATCTAGTCAAACCCCCTTCTATCTGATGGATGACCATTCAGGCCTTACAAAAAATAACAACAACAACAATAATAATGGCATAGCATCATAGATTTGGAAGACGACCCAAAAGGCTATCCAGACCAACCACATCTGCCATAAAGGAAGACACCATCAAAGCTCTCCTGACAGATGACCATTTTGCCTCTGCATAACAACAACAACAACAACAATAATAATAACAATAAATCCTAGATTTGGAAGAGAACCCTAAAAGCCTAATAGATGGCCATTCAACCTCTACTTAATAATAATAGTAGTAGGAATAATAATAGCATAGAATCCTAGATTTGGAAGAGAACCCTAAGTGACATCCAGCCCACACTACTTCTGCCATAAAGGGAGACACAATCAAAGCCCTCCTGACAGATGACCATCTTGCCTCTGCTTAATAATAATAATAATACCATAGCATCATAGATTTGGAAGATGACCCAAAAGGCCATCCAGACCAACCCCATCTACCATAAAGGAAGCCACAATCAAAACCCTCCTGTCAGATGGCCAAACTGCCTCTACAATAATAATGGGCTTGGACGTGAACCAAAGGCCATCCAGCTCAACCCTCTTCTGCCATCCTGGAAGACACCACCCGATCCCTCCCAACAGATCGTGGCTTGCATTGGAAGAGGCCAGGCTCTCTCACCTCCCACATGATGAGCCGCCCGGACTTGGTGACGCCCGCCTTCTGGGTCCGCCCCGTGGAGACCTGCACCACCTCCGTGTTCATCATGGGCAGCCGCAGGGGGGCACTCAGGCCGGAGCCCCACGTGTAGATGGAGGACGGGGCCGGAGGGAGGCCCGGGCGGGCCGAGCCCAGGCGGGATCCTGGGGCCAAGGGGGAAAGAGACGTCAACGGGCACCGCAATGGCACCCAAGGAAGCCAAAGATGGCACCCAAGATCACGCAATGGCACCCAAGGAAGCCAAAGATGGCACCCAAGATCCCACAATGGCACCTAAGGAAGCCAAAGATGGCACCCAACATGGCATCCAACGAAGTCAAAGAGGGTACATAAAGATACCAAAGATGGCCCCAAAGATCCCACAATGGCACCCAAAGAAGACATCTAAAGAAGGCACCCAAGAATGCCAAAGATGGTACCCAAAGTTCCCACAATGCTCAGAAAATAATAATAATAATAATAATAATAATAATAACAATAACAACAGGTTGCAGGACAATTATGTGGGACAAAAGAGACAGATGGAAAGCTCGGAAAATAACAACAACAATAACAACAGTAGGGTTCAGAACAATTATGTAGGACAAGAGACAAACAAGTTCAGAAAATAATAATAATAATAATAATAATAATAATAATAATAATAATAACACGCTGCAGGACAGTAATGTACAACAAAAGTGATGGTCTGGAAGCTCAGAAAATTATAATAATAATAATAATAATAATAATAATAATAATATAATAGTAATAATAATAATAATAATAATAACAGGCTGCAGGACAGTCATGTAGGACAGAAGAGATGGTCAGGAAGCTCAGAAAATAATAATAATAATAATAATAATAATAATAATAATAATAATAATAATAATAATAATAGGCTCTGCAGGACTGTCATGTAGGACAGAAGAGATGGTCAGGAAGCTCAGACAATAATAATAATAATAATAATAATAATAATAATAATAATAATAATAGGCTGCAAGACAATCACATGGGACAAAAGAGACAGATGGAAAGCTCGGAAAATAACAACAACAACAACAACAACAACTGGTTGCAGAACAATCATGTAGGACAAGAGACAAACAAGCTCAGAAAATAGTAACAACAACAACAACAACAACAATAGACTTCAGGACTGTCATGTAGAACAGAAGAGATGTTTGGGAAGATCAGAAAATAACAATAATGATAATAATGATAATAGTGATAATAATAATAATAATAATAATAATAATAATAATAATAATAATAGGCTGCAGGACAGTCATGTAGGACAGAAGTGATGGTCAGGAAGCTCAGAAAATAACAACAACAACAACAACAACAACAACAACAACAACAACAATAATAGGCTGCAGGACAGTCATGTAGGACAGAAGAGATGGTCAGGAAGCCCAGAAAATAATAGTAATAATAATAATAATAACAATAATAATAATAGGCTGCAGGACAGTCATGTAGGATAGAAGAGATGGTCAGGAATAACAATAACAATAAAAGATCCAATGATGGCACCCAAAGAAGACACCGAAAGATCCCGCTAGTGGCACCCAACAATGTGCTAGACTCCCAAGGATCACTGCCAGGGCAGCCATTGTCCAAAGAAAGATGGGTGCCGCCGCAACTGACCTCTGGCCCGAGCGATGCCCCCTCCTGCCCTGCCGTGGGCCACTGCCGGAACCGCGGCCAGAGGTTTCTCGGGTCTACGGGACAAAAGAGTAGAAGGATTGGTTCCTGCCTTGGGTCCCTGTGCTGCCCCCCCCCCCCGGGGCACCCGGAGCCCCCACCTGCGCATGCGGACGCTGCCCACGTCGGTATAGAGGTCGAGGAGGGGCCGGACGCAGAGGGCCTGGGCCATGATCTCTCCCAGCTGGGGCCGCTTGGAGGGGTCCAGGTGGAGGAGGGCCAGGATGAGCTGCCGCAAGTCGGGGCTGTAGCGGTCCGAGATGGGCGCAAAGGTCCCACTCATGATCTTCAGCACCAAGGCAGGCAGGTTCTGGCAGAGGGCGGGATGGGTAAGGAAGTCTGTGGCAGGGAGCCCCACCGGAAAGGCCCTGCAGGGTCCCCGTCTCCCCTCTAAACACGTGTCATGGCACTATCACTGCAAGAGCTTGCAATAGTTTCAGAATCACAGATGGGAACACCGAGGGGCCATCCAATCCAACCCCCTTCTGCCAGGCAGGAAGACACCATCCAAGCCCTCCTGACAGATGCCCACCCAGTGTCTGCTTATAAAACCTCCAAAGGCGATTTTGATTGAGATGCTCATGGCTCTTTACCATAGATAAAAATATTTATTATTATTATTATTATTATTATTTGAAACACAACAAGATTATGATGATGATGATGATGATGATTATTATTATTATTTTAGTGGGTACAATACAACTACCTGATGTCATTATCATCATCATCATTTTATTTTATATTATTATTATTATTACCACAGCTTCATCATCACAATTATCATCATCATTTTATTTGATATTATTATTATTATTACTGCAGCTTCATCATCATCATTTAATTTGTTATTATTATTATTATTACAGCAGTTTCATTATTATCATTAAATTTGTTATCATTATTATTATTATTGTTATTATTATTACCACAGCTTCATCATCATTAATATTATTTATTTGATATTATTATTATTACTACTGCATCATCATTTCATTTGATATTATTATTTTCGCAGCTTCATCATCAATATTATTATTTCATTTGATATTATTATTACATCATCATCATCATTTTAATTGATATTATTATTATTATTATGGCAGCTTCATCATCATTTAATTTGTTATTATTCTATTTGATATTATTATTATTATTACTATTTTCGCAGCTTCATTACCAATATTATTATTTCATTTGATATTATTATTATTACCGCATCATCATCATCATTTTAATTGATATTATTATTATTATTATTATTATTATTATGGCAGCTTCATCATCATCATTTAATTTGTTATTATTATTATTATTATTATTATTATTATTATTATTACGGCAGCTTCATCATTATCATTAAATTTGTTATTATTATTATTATTATTACAGCTTCATCATAATCATTCTATTTGATATTATTATTGTTATTATTATAACCACAGCTTCATCATCATTAATATTTTTTATTTGATATTATTATTATTACTACTGCATCATCATTTCATTTGATATTATTATTTTCACAGCTTCATCATCAATATTATTATTATTTCATTTGATATTATTATTATTACATCATCATTTTAATTGATATTATTATTATTATGGCAGCTTCATTATCATCATTTAATTTGTTATTATTCTGTTTGATATTATTATTATTATTACCACAGCTTCATCATCATTAATATTATTTATTTGATATTATTATTATTATTACTATTATTTTCGCAGCTTCCTTACCAATATTATTATTTCATTTGATATTATTATTATTATTACTTCCACAGGTTCATCATCATCAATATTATTATTATTTTGATATTATTATTATTATTATTATTATTATTATTATTATTCTTACCGCGGCTTCAAAGGCCCTCTTCAGGCTGGCGAGCTCGTAGAGGACGCACCCCAGGGCCCAAATGTCGCTCTTCTGGTTGTAGGGCTTGCCTTCGCAGAGTTCGGGGGAAATGTAGCAGGGGGTGCCCACCACCTAAAGGGAGGCACGGGTTCAGGATTACCTGAAAGGAGGCCCCCCCCCCCGACACCTTCGGAAGGAGCCCTCCCTCACGGTGTAAGCCTTGCTCTTGCTGCTGAGGATCTTGGAGATGCCAAAGTCCCCGATCTTGACCATCATGTGGTGCTTGTCCAGCAGGATGTTCTGGGTCTTGAGGTCCCGGTGGAGGATCTGCTTGCTGTGGACGTGGTGCAGGGCCAGCACGATCTGCACAAAGAAGTGCAGGATGGTCTCCTCATCCAGGAGGGAACTCCCGCGCTTGTGGATGAACTCCGCCAAGGTGCCGCCTGAGGGAGAAGAAGGAAGCAGCCAGCATGAGGCAAAAGGGAACCACTGACCACAGAGGGAAGCTGAGGAGGAAACACAACATACAAACTATCTCCAGACCCACCAAGAAAATCCGACAAATGCTCCGTTCAGCAAAGGACAAGAGGGATGCTCTCGCCTCTGCAGGAGTCTACTGTGTACCATACAGCTGTGGACAAGAAGTCTACATAGGGACCACCAAACGCAGCAGCAACATTGCCCAGACATGAAAGGCACTGCAGACTACGTCAACCAGAGAAGTCAGCCATAGCAGGGCACCTGAGGAACCAGCCTGGACACAGCATATCATTTGAGAACACAGAAATGCTGGACCACACCAACAACCACCATGTCAGGCTACACAGAGAAGCCACTGAAATCCACAAGAAGCATGTGGACAATTTCAACAGAAAGGAAGAGACCATGAAAATGAACAAAATCTGGCTACCAGTATTAAAAAAACCTCTAAAATTACAACAGCAAAACAACAGAGAGGAAACAATCAGGGACATCTAATCACCTCTCAACAAAAGATTGCTCTAGGCACTGCCAGGCCATCAAATGCTAATCAAGGTGGTCAGTTGAAACATTCCCCCCTAGCTCCAGCAGACAAGAGTCCTTTGTCCCACCCTGGTTATTCCACAGATATATAAACCCATTTTCCTAGTTCCAACAGACCTCACTACCTCTGAGGATGCTTGACATAGATGCAGGCGAAACATCAGGAGTGAATGCCTCTAGAACATGGCCATATAGCCCGAAAAAACCTACAACAACCCACTAATTAAGGTGGTCAGTTGCAACATTCCCCCCTAGTTCCAGCAGACAAGAGTCCTTTGTCTCACCCTGGTCATTCCACAGATATAGAAACCCTTTTTCCTAGTTCCAACAGACCTCACTACCTCTGAGGATGCTTGCCATAGATGCAGGCGAAACGTCAGGGGAGAATGCCTCTAGGACATGGCCATATAGCCCAGAAAAACCTACAACAACCCAGTGATTCTGGCCATGAAAGCCTTCGACAATAATAATAATAATTCTGACCTCTGAGGCTGAGAGAGCATGACTTGCACTGTTTTTGTAAATAAAATGCTGCAAGCCGCTTTGCATCTCAACTGATACACAAAAGTGGGACACCAATAGCAACAATAAGCCGTATTCTGACTCCCTCTGAGGACTCCATGGTCCAAACAGGGATCTGGGTCTCTGGAATTGCACCCAAAAGAGAGAAGGCTCGAGGCCTTGTGAAACTGCAACTCCCAGGATGGCACAGGCTGACCGAAACGTGGCTTGTGCGGCGGGGAAGGCCTCACCGGGGGCGTACTCCATGGCGATCATGAGGGCCTTGTCCTCCAGGAAGTTCTCGTAGTATTCGATGACGTGGGGGTGGTGGAGCAGCTTCAGGACCTGGCACTCGTTCTGGGCGGCCAAGCGCTCGTCCTTGGTCATCTGGTCCACCGGGATCTGCTTCAGGATCACCAGCTTCTGGTCCATCTTGCGGAGGCAGAGGTGGACGATCCTGTGGACAGAGGTCCCAAGAGCGTCAGTGCTCGACACCCAAGTTCACCATCCACCAAGGTGACCAATGCTGTCTCTGTCCCGTAACCGGACCTCAGGCCAGTTAGAAATGGATCCAGATAATGGGCTTCGTCCAAGAAACCTTGGAGTTGTGCTAACTGGGATAATTTGAAATATTATTATCTATATAAATAAAAATGTAATGTTCGTTTGTGGGATTAACACAACTCAAAAACAACTGGACGAATTGACACCAAATTTGGACACAAGACACCTCTCAAGCCAACGAGTGACCATCACTCATCAAAACACCGAAAAACACAGCGGAAGGGACTTGAAAAGCCAAAAAATAAAAAATACATTACAACGCACGCGCAAAACCACATATATACACAAACACACATATACACAAATATATACAAAAACATATATGCATATATACACATACAAAACACATATACACAGAATATACACAAACACACATATATATTCATATACACAAATATATACACACATATATACACACACAAATATATATACGCACATATACGCATGTATACACACACAAAACACATATACACAGAATATAGACAAACACACATATATACTCATATACACAAATATATTTATTTATTTATTTATTTACTCCATTTGTATACCGCATTTATCAGCCTGAAACGGCGACTCAATGCGGTTTACAATAAAAATGGACAACATTGAACAATATATCAGACGCACATGCACAAACAACACACATAGTCATCGACGCCTCAATTAGAATCAGATCCCGTTCTCACAATCCTTTCCGTTCCTTGTTCCAATGCCGTCTTACTGAGTTAATTGTCATTGCATAGTTATCCAAATGCCTGTTCATAGAGCCATGTCTTCACCCTCCTCCGAAACACCAGTAACGAAGGAGCCTGCCTAATGTCCACTGGTAGGGCATTCCATAGCCGAGAGGCCACCACCGAGAAGGCCCTGTCTCTCGTCCCCGCCAACCGCGCTTGTGACGCCGCGCTTATACACACACACACATATGCATATATACACATACAAAATGCATACACAGAATATAAACAAACACACAAATATACACTAATATATACACGCACATATACTCATATATACACACACAATACACATACACAGGATATACACAAACGCACAAATATACTCATGTACACAAATATACACACACACATATATGCATGTATACACACACAAAACACATTTTATTGTGTCCTGGTGTATTGTTTATTGCTTGTTGTTTTAATATTGCTTTAACTGTTTTTGATTTGCTTTAGGTTGTGTATCGTCATGTTGTGTTTTGAGGCCTTGGCCTTTGTAAGCCGCATCGAGTCCTTCGGGAGATGCTAGCGGGGTACAAATAAAGGTAATAATAATAATAATAATAATAATAATATACTTATATATAACGGCGCTCCATGCAGTCATGCCAGTGGCCACATGACCTTGGAGGTGTCTACGGACAACGCTGGCTCTTTGGCTTAGAAATGGAGAGGAGCACCACAGCCCAGAGTCAGACATGACTGGACTTAATGTCAGGGCTTAGTTATACAGAATCATAACAATAATATTATATAATATTTGAATATTAGATACAAATATTATATATATAAATATTTGAATATTAGATACATATATATATATATAATATTTGAATATTAGATAGAAATATTATATAAATATATAAAATATTTGATTAGATACAAATATAATATATATATATATATATATATATATATATGGATATTAGATACAAATATTATATATATATATTTATATATAAAATACAGGAGGGTGTATATTCCTAACATGCTGTTATTAAATATTATCTTATTCTCCTCCCTTCCCCCGGCTTTCCTCACCCGAAGGCCCCCCTCCCGACCACCCGAATCCGCTCGTATTTCTCCATCGCAGGCTTCTCCGGATCCGACTAGGCCGCGGTTGCCATGGAGACGCTTCCGGGAAAGGCGACGGCGGCCGAAGAAGATCAAGAAAGCATGGTTTGGGGCCTAGAGTGTATTGCCTAGCCTTGGCCCCGCCCCTCGGTGTCGTGATTGGACTCTACTAGATTGGGGCGTTGCCCGGCCTTAGCTCCGCCCCTCAATGACGCGCCTTTATTCCACTTGGCCTTAGCCCCGCCCCTCGGTGACGTGTGTTAGCCCCGCCCCTCATTAACGCGGCTTGGTTCAACTGTGTTATGTCTGGCTTTAGCCCCGCCCTTCGGTGACGCGCTTTAGCCACGCCCCTAAGTGGCGTGATTGGACTCTACAATATCGTTAGCCCCGCCCCTCATTAACGCTGCTTGGTTCAACTGTATATACTTGTCGTTAGCCACGCCTCTCAATGACGCGTATTAGCCCCGCCCCTCAATGACAAGCTTGGTTCAACTGTGTTTGTCGTTAGCCCCGCCCCTCGGTGACGTTGCAAATTATGCTTGTCCTTAGCCCCGCCCCTCAGTGACGCGGCTTGGTTCAACTGTATTATGCCTGGCTTCAGCCCCGCCCCTCGGTGACGTGTCTTAGCCCCGCCCCTCGGCGAATAGCCTTGATTCTATTGTATTGTGGCATTGCCTGGCCTTAGCCCCGCCCCTTGGTGACGCAAGTCCTGTATGGCAACGCCTGGACTTAGCCCCGCCCATCAGTGACGCGACTTGGTCCAACTGCAAATGCTTGTTCTTAGCCCCGCCTCTTAGTGACGCACTGGCCTTAGCCCCGCCCCTTGGTGCCGAGCCTTAGCCCCGCCCCTCAGAGACGCGGCTTATTTCAACTGTCTTGTCCTTAGCCCCGCCCCTGTGTGGCGAGGCCTGTCCTTAGCCCCGCCCTTCTGTGACGCAGCTTGGTCCAACTGTCTCCTGCTTGTCTTTAGCCCCGCCCCTGTGTGGCGAGGCCTGGACTTAGCCCCGCCCCTCAGTGACTCGCCTTGGTACAACTGTATAATAGAAATGCCTGTCCTGACGTTGCAAATTATGCTTGTCCTTAGCCCCGCCCCTCAGTGACGCGGCTTGGTTCAACTGTATTATGCCTGGCTTCAGCCCCGCCCCTCGGTGACGTGTCTTAGCCCCGCCCCTCGGCGAATAGCCTTGATTCTATTGTATTGTGGCATTGCCTGGCCTTAGCCCCGCCCCTTGGTGACGCAAGTCCTGTATGGCAACGCCTGGACTTAGCCCCGCCCATCAGTGACGCGACTTGGTCCAACTGCATATGCTTGTCCTTAGCCCCGCCTCTCCGTGACGCGCTGACCTTAGCCCCGCCCCTCGGAGACGCGGCTTCGTTCAACTGTGTTGTCCTTAGCCCCGCCCCTCGATGACGTACATTAGCCCCGCCCCTCAGTGAATAGCCTTGATTCTGTTGTATTGTGGCATTGCCTGGCTTTAGCCCCGCCCATCAGTGACGCGATTGGTTCAACTGTATAGGCTTGTCCTTAGCCCCGCCTCTGAGTGACGCGCTGGCCTTAGCCCCGCCCCTCGCTGAGGCGCCTTAGCCCCGCCCCTCGGAGACGCGGCTTGGTCCAACTGTTTTCTGCTTGTGGGTAGCCCCGCCTCTCAGTGACGCAACGGCCGTAAGCCCCGCCCCTCGGTGCTTAGCCCCGCCCCTGTGTGGCGAGGCCTCTCCTTAGCCCCGCCCCTCGCCGAGCCGCCTTAGCCCCGCCCCTCAGTGACGCAGCTTGGTCCAACTGTCTCCTTAGGCTTGTGCTTAGCCCCGCCCCTGTGTGGCGAGTCCCACAATTAGCCCCGCCCCCTGTATTGCTTGGCATTGTGTCCTTAGCCCCGCCCCTCGCTTCCCCTCCTGTATGATGGCACTGCCTCCTTGGGGGCGTGTCCTGCGGCGTGGCCCCTCCCCCTGCCGGCGTGCACGTGGGTCGCGAAGGGAGGGAGGGAGGGAGGGAGGCCGGGCGTCGGGAAGGAGGGATGCCTGTGTGGCGGTGGTGGGCCCCCCCGTGGGCGCGGGTCCTGGGCTCGGCGCTGGCCTTCGGGGGCCTCCGCTGGGCGCTGCGCCGCCTCCCGCTCCCGGCCCACGTCCGCCGGGACGCCACCCGCACCTGGCGCTGGAGGAACCTCCTCGTCTCCTTCGCACACTCCGTCGTCGCCGGGCTCTGGGCCGTCGTCGGGTAAGAAGAGCCAGGCAGGGGCAGGCAAACACAGGACCCCCCCCCCTCCGCGCATGCGCACAGGCACCTTCCCTTCTCTCCCATTCGAGGGGTCCTTCTGGCCCATCCATCCCCCCCTCCCTCCCTCCCTCCCATCCATCCATCCGAGAGGGCCTCTGAGCATACACAGAGAGCACCTCGCCCCCAATCACAGCCATCCTCATCATATATTATACTATAATTGTATCATAAACTATAATATAGATTATAATATATATAACACATTATATATATTATATTTATTTATATATATAATGTATTATATTTATATATATATTATACTATAATTGTATAATAAACTATATTATATTGCGATACATTACATATAATAATATATTATATTTATATATAATAATGTATTATATTTATATACATATTATACTATAATTGTATAATAAACTATATTATATTGTGATACATTACATATAATATATATATATATATATATATATATTAATGTATTATATTTATATATATAACATTATACTATATTTGTATAATAAACTATATTATTACTCTTATTCAAGAGTTAGGTGCCTTTTGCATATGCTCAGAGGTTCTCTCCCTCCCTCCCTCCCTCCCATCCATCCAAGAGGGCCTCTGAGCATACGCAGAGGGCACCTCGCCCCCAATCACAGCCATCCTCATCATACATTACACTATAATTTTATAATAAACTTGGCATCCTTGAAGGGACTGGACTGACCTTGAAGGAGACCCTGGGGGTGGTGACAGCCAACAGGGAGCTCTGGTGTGGGATGGTCCATGTGGTCACGAAGAGTTGGAGACAACTGAACGAATGTACAACATATTATTATATATAATACTATAATTTTATAATATACTATAAGATAGATTATATAGGTTATAATATATATATAATACATTATATATAATATTATATATATATTATATATATTACAATATAATATAAATTTTAATATATATATAATACATTATATATAATAATATATAATACAATATAATACACTATAATTGTATAATAAACTATATTATATTGTGATTACTCTTATTTAAGGCTAGATGCCCTCTGCGTATGCTCAGAGGCACTCTTGCTGGCACAGATGGGAGGGAAGGACCTCTCAGGCTAATATAAGTTTATAAGAAGCTGTAATATTATCATATAATATATTATACTATCTTTATAATATACTATAATATTATCATATATTATAATTGTATAATAAACTATATTATATTGTGATTACTCTTATTCAATGTTATAATATATTATTCCTATAATTTCAGGCTAGGTGCCCTCTGCGTATGCTCAGAGGCCCTCTTGCTTGCATGGATGGGAGGGAGACTTAATATAATTTTATAATATACTATAATATTATAATATAATATATTATTCCTATTATTTCAGGCTAGGTGCCCTCTTTGTATGCTCAGAGGCACTCTTGCTTGCATAGATGGGAGAGAAGGACCAAACAGGCTAATATAATTTTAGAAGAAACTGTAGTATTATATTATACTATAATTGTATAATAAACTATAACATTATTTTGTTATTACTCTTATTTGAGGCTAGACGCCCTCTGCGTATGCTCAGAGGCACTCTTGCTTGCATGGATGGGAGGGAAGGACCTCTCAGGCTACTAATATTATAATAAACTATAATATTATATTATTATTCCTATTATTATTATTATTATTATTATTTGGTGGGTTCTGTTCTAGAGTAAGGCAGGGCCCTGATATATATGTATGTATGTATGTATGTATATATGTATGTATGTATGTCCTCCTTCCTCTCTCCCCGAAGAACCCAGGCGCCTCTCCTCCTCCTCCTCCCTCCTCCGTGTGTTTATCTTTCCCCATCACCTGTTCCTATTTCTGTCTCTCAAGTGTTTTCTCCGCAAAGGACAGAAACCGGTCTGGCTTCTTCTTCTTCCTCTTCTTCTTCTCAAGAGAGAGGCACCAGACCCAGTTTCGGTGCAAACACCCTCGTTTTTGCGAGCAGGAGTGGTTTCACTGGCTCGCTCACTCGAGCTGCCGCCTCCTCTTCTGACTCCCATCGTCCCCAGGCTGCATCAAGGGCGGGGGAATAATGGGATTTGTTGCAATCCAAGGAGAAGTTAGGCAGCATGGTATTTTTAACACACACACGCACACAAACATACCTTTCTTTCTCTATATATAGAGAAAGATCCACATACATATCCATTCAAACACATCCCCACTATAAAGAGGAGGCATGGGCAAACTTGGGCCTTCCAGGTGTTTTGGACTTCAATTCCCACAAGTTTGCCCATGCCTGTTAGACACACATACACACCTATCTCACAAACACCCGCCTCTATACAAGCCCATATATCCATACATGCACACACACACATATATATACGCATACATACATGCACACTTACACGCATATAAACATCAGCTTATAATTATATATATACACATACATATATACATGTGCACACACATATATACATACATATATATACACACATATACACACATATGAATACATACATATATATACACACATATACACACATATGAATACATACATATATATACACACATATGAATACATATATATACACACATATGAATACATACATATATATACACACATATACACACATATGAATACATACATATACACACATATATACATGCTCATACATATATACACACATACATATATACACACACATATATACATTCACACACACATATATATACACACACATACATATAGATACAAACACACACATATATATACATATACATATGCACACACACATATATACATACATATATATATACACACATATACACACACATGAATACATACACATATATACATGCACACACATATACACATACATACATATACACACATATATATATACACATACATATGCACACACACATATATATACACACATACATATCTACACACATATACATACAACCTATTATATGCACACTTCCAAAAATATGTGATTTTTCTTTGCAACAAGGAATAGCAAATATCAGAACTGGGTATTGACCAAGATTTTTCTCTTTTCCTCTTTTCCTCTCCTTCCTTCCTCGATTTGCTTCTCTTTTCCTCTCCTTTCTTCAACTCTTCCTTCCTTCCTTCCAGGATCTGGCGGATACCAGAAGGAATCTTTGCAGACCTGGTCCACACCTCCACTCCTTCGGGGCGCTTGCTGATGTGCGTCTCGGCCGGTAAGGAACTCGGGGTGGGATTGGGACCCTTGGTGGGACGACTCCATCTCCCATCGTCCCTGGCCAGCCTCAGACCTGGCGTGTTTCTCCCTCCCTCTCAGGTTATTTCATCCACGACTCCTTGGATATCATCGTCTGCCACCAGTCGCGCGCCTCCTGGGAGTACCTGGTCCACCATGCCATGGTAAGTCCCAGCAGAGACCCCAAGGGGCAAAGGATTCACCCAAGCAAGCCTGCAGTGGATTCCAGATAGGAAATCCTTCACTTCCACGCTGGGCTTCTTTCTCGTGCAGATAAACAGCTTCGCTCCCACTGAACCTCCTCTCATACCAAAGTCACACAGGATCTGTACACACAGCAGCCTTCAAACTGAAGCTTCACACACTATTGCCTTCAACCTGGAGCTTCTCTCACCGAAGCTTCTCACACCAGGCCTTCTCATACTGAGGCCTACTAACACAGAGACCTTCTCATACTGAGGACACTCTCACTCTGAGGGCTTCCTCAGACTGATGCCTCTCTCCCACTGAGGGCTACCTCAGACTAACACCTCTCTCCCACTGAGGCCTTTCTCCCACTGAGGCCTTCTAACACAGAGACTTCTCATACTGAAGCCTCATACTGAGGCCTACTAACACAGAGACCTTCTCATACTGAGGCCTCTCTCACTCTGAGGGCTACCTCAGACTGATGCCTCTCTCCCACTGAGGCCTACTAACAGAGACTTCTCATACTGAAGCCTCTCTCCCTCTGAGGCCTTCTAACACAGAGACTTCTCATACTGAAGCCTCTCTCCCACTGAGGCCTTTCTCCCACTGAGGCCTACTAACACAGAGACCTCATACTGAGGCCTCTCTCCCACTGAGGGCTACCTAAGACTGATGCCTCTCACCGAGGCCTACTAACACAGAGGCCTTCTCATACTGAGGCATCGCTCACTCTGAGGGCTACCTCAGACTGACACTTCTCTCACTCTGAGGGCTACCTCAGACTAACGCCTCTCTCCCACTGAGTCTTTCTAACAGACTTCTCATACTGAAACCCCTCTCACTCTGAAGGCTACCTCAGACTGATGCCTTTCTCCCACTGAGGCCTACTAACACAGAGAGCTTCTCATACCGAGGCCTCTTACTCTGAGGGTTACCTCAGACTGATGCCTCTCTCACTCTGAGGGCTACCTCAGACTAATGCTTTTCTCCCACTGAGGCCTACTAACACAGAGACCTCATACTGAGGCCTCTCCCATTCTGAGGGCTACCTCAGACTGACACCTCTCTCACATGGAGGCCTACTAACACACTGAGACCCTTCTCCCACAGAGACCTCTCTCACAGACTGAGAGCTACTAAGCTACAGGCACACCTGCTTATATTGAACCACATTTTGTAATTAAAAATACCTAGTTAATTTTCGATATTTCTGCCTAATAACTCAGCAATGAATGTACAAGCGAGTTACATTCGGGTCCTGGGAAGTTATGCCTAAGCTGGCAATGAATTTGCAAGAGGGTTGTCGTTCAACGTCCGAGACGGGGGTGCCGCGTAACCCACCTCTCTCCCTTTCCCCGGCAGGCCGTGTCGGGCTTGTTCTCGGCCATCTACCTGGACCGCTTTGTGGCGGCGGCCTTGGTCTCGCTCTTTGTGGAGGTGAGCAACATCTTCCTGACGCTGCGGATGATGATGCGCCTGGGACGCCTGCCCTTCCGCGCCCTCTACGAGGTCAACAAGTACGTCAACCTGGGGGTGTACTTCCTCTTCCGCCTCTTCCCGCAGGCCTACCTGACCTGGTACTTTGCCCGCTTTGTGGAGCTGCGCGGCCAGGGCCTCTTCCTCATGGTCAACCTGGTGCTCCTGGACGGCATGATCCTGGTCTACTTCTCCCGCCTCCTGCGCACGGACTTCTGCCCCAGCGCCCGCAAGGACGGGCCCGAGAGCGAGCGGAAGTTCCTCAACGACTAAAGCCGGGAGGGCCTCCTCGCTCCGCTCCGACCGCCACCGCTGTGCCTTAAACTGCGGCGTTCTCTCTTTCCTTTCCCTTTGGGACCAAATACGAGTTCGGGCCCCGATCCCTCCGTAATCGGGTCGGCCTTTGTGGACTGGGGTCCCGAAAGGAAATCCGGCCCGATCCCAACAGAAACGAATGCGAGCTGGAAGATTGGACGTGTGAGATAACGAGTTTGTCTGCCCGCCATATTTGTTTTCTCGAGTTTGGAAGTGCGGTTTTGTGTTTTGTTTGCAAAGGAGAGGGTGGTTTTATGCATTAAAAAAAGATCTGTGCCCAATTTGTTGTCGTTGTTGTTGTTTATTTGTTCAGTCGCTTCCAACTCTTCATGACTTCCTGGATCAGGTTAGAGCACCCTATCAGCCATGGCCACCCCCAGCACCTTCAAGGTCAAGCCAGTCCCTTCTTCTCTATGCTTTCCTGTCCTCTCATTGTTGTTGTTTATCTGTTCAGTCGCTTCAGACTCTTGGTGACCACCTGGACCAGACCACAGCACCCTGTTGGCCGTGGCCACCCCCAGCTCCTTCAAGGTCAAGCCAGTCTCTTCTTCTGTATGCTTTCCTGTCCTCTCGTTGTTGTTTATCTGTTCAGTCGCTTCAGACTCTTGGTGACCTCCTGGACCAGACCAGAGCTCCCTGTTGGCCGCGGCCACCCCAGCACCTTCAAGGTCATGCTAGTCCCTTCAAGGAGCTGCCTGTCGGCCATGGCCACCCCCAGCTCCTTCAAGTTCAAGCCAGTCCCTTCAAGGATCTCCCTGTCGGCCATGGCCACCCCCAGCTCCTTCAAGGTCAAGCCAGTCCGTTCAAAGAGCTCCCTGTCAGCCATGGCCACTCCCAGCTCCTTCAAGGTCAAGCCAGTCCCTTCAAGGAGCTCCCTGTCAGCCGTGGCCACCCCCAGCTCCTTCAAGGTCAAGCCAGTCTCTTCAAGGAGCTCCCTGTCAGCCGTGGCCACCCCCAGCTCCTTCAAGGTCATGCCGTCTCTTCAAAGAGCTCCCCATCAGCTATGGTCACCCCCAGCTCCTTCAAGATCAAGCCAGTTCCTTCAAGGAGCTGCCTGTCGGCCATGGCCACCCCCAGCTCCTTCAAGGTCAAGCCAGTCCCTTCAAAGATACCATCCATCTACCTTGCCCTTGCTTGGTCCCTCTTCCTTTTTCCTTCCATTTTCCCCAGCATCGTTGTCTTCTCCAAGCTTTACTTTCCTCTCATTGTTGTTTGCTTGTTCATTGGCTTCAGACTCTTGGTGACCTCCTGAACCAGGCCAGAGCTCCCTGTCAGCCGTGGCCACCCCGAACTCCTTCAAGGACAAACCAGTCCCTTCAAGGATACTATCCATCTGTCTTTCCCTTGGTCGGCCCCCCTTCCTTTTTCCTTCCCTTTTCCCAGCATCGTTGTCTTCTCTAAGCTTTTCTGTACTCTCATTGTTGTTTTTTGTTCAGTCGCTTCCGACTCTTGGTGACATCCTAAACCAGGCCAGAGCTCCCTGTCAGCTGTGGCCACCCCCAGCGCCTTCAAGGACAAGCCAGTCCCTTCAAGGATACCATCCATCCGTCTTTCCCTTGCTCGGCCCCTCTTTTTCCTTCCCTTTTTCCCAGCATCGTTGTCTTCTCTAAGCTTTCCTATCTTCTCATGATGTGGCCAAAGGACCCTGCACAATGAGGACAGACTAGATGATCTTTGGGGGTCCCTTCCAAGTCTTTCTTTATTTTAGAGACGTCTTTCTTTCTTTATGAAAGGTTTGATGGGAGTCGAGTCAGGTTTCTCTCTGCGGGGAAATGCAACACCGAGGTGACGCCCGTTGCCTAGATCAGCGACCATAGAAACCCGCTTGGCAAGCGTCCTCCTCACCTGAGCAGCCCATCCAATCCTCTCCACTCCAACCCAGGAGAGAAACAAGAGCTCCTTATGCTGGTGCCAGCTTGGCCCAGGCAGGAACAAGAGCCTGGACGCGAGCCCAAAATCTGGCTCGGCCGCTTGGCATCAAGGGCTCTCAAAAGGGATTCTGTCTCGCCCTGAATCGGGATTTCCTCGCCATCTGGAGCCTTAGAATGGGGAGGAAAAGAGTGAATAGGATGGCTTGTGTCTTGCCAGAGAAAGGCCAGGCATTGCTCTCTCCCTCTGGACAGATTCCTGGCACAAAGAGGCTCGAGTGGGGTCTGTCCAAAAAGGCCCCTTGCGACTGCTAATGCCAGGCTGTCATTATGTGGTTTGGCCCAAAGAAAGGCCCTCGCCTTTGGAGGCAAGCAACGGGGCCAGGGCGAGGCTTGGAATATCAAAATCGACTTCCCTTTTGCTACTTCCATCCTGAGCCCAAAGGAAGAGTAAAGAGAAAAAAATCTTTTGAGGATAGTTTCAGGCTTTGTTCAAACCAATTTGGGCATGTTCTCTTGCTTCCAGCCAAGCTGCAGCTCTGACTTCTTCCAAAAGTGTTGTTAGAGCAAAAGAGGTCCACAAGGGGGCAGCAGGATGAGGAGGATGAGCATAATACTTCCATCCATCCATCTTCCAGCTCATCTATCTATATCTATCCATCCAGCTCATCCCTCCCTCCCTCCATCTCTCCTATCTATCCATCCCTCCATTCAGCTCATCTATCTATCCATCCATCCATCCCTCTATCTATCTACCCACCCATCATTTTCTCTTACTCTATCTCTGTTCATCTATCTATCTATCCATCCATCCAGCTCATCTATCTACTATATTTATCTGTCTATCTCCATCCATCCCTCCATCTCATCTATCCATCCATCCCTCCCTCCAGCCTATCTATCTATCTATCTATCTATCTATCTATCTATCTATCCATCCATCCATCCATCCATCCATCCATCCATCCATCCATCCATCCATCCATCCATCCATCCCATCTATCTCTCCATCCATCCAGCTCATCCACCTATCTATTCATCTATCTATCTCCATCCATCCATCCCTCCAGCTCATCCATCTATCCATCCATCCATCCATCTATCTATCTCCATCCATCTATCCCTCCCTCCCTCCAGCCTACCTACCTACCTACCTTATCTATCTACTCTATTTATCTATCTATCTCCATCCATCCATCCCTCCATCTCATCTATCCATCCATCCATCCCTCCAGCCTACCTACCTATCCATTTCATCAATCAATCAATTCATTCCTCCCTCCAGCTCATCTATATCTTTCTATCACCTATTTATCCATCCATCCACCCATCTCTCCAGCTCATCCCTTCATCCAGCCTATCTATCTACCTATTCATCCATCTCATCTATCTCTCCATCCATCCAGCTCATCCACCTATCTATCTATCTATCTATCTATCTATCTATCTATCTATCTATCTATCTATCTATCTATCCATCCATCCATCCATCCATCCATCCATCCATCCACCCCTCCATCTCATCTATCCATCCATCTCATCTATCCATCCATCCGTCCCTTCCTCCAGCCTATCTATCTACTTTAGCCATCCATCTCATCCTATCTCTCTATCTATCCAGCTCATCAATCAATTCATCCCTCCCTCCAGCTCATCTATCTCTCTATCTTTCTATCACCTATCTATCCATCCATCCACCCATCCCTCCCTCCAACTCATCTATCTATCCATCCATCCATCCAGCTCATCTATCCATTCAACCAACCATCCCTCCCTCCAGCCCATCCATCCATCTATCCATCTAGATAATATGAGCACTCAAACTGGAGGTCAGTTGTGACCACCAGTGCTGCAGAATTCAAAGAGGCACGAATGGAGGGCGAAAGGGAGAAAAGTGCCCAGAAGAATGAGGCGCGTCAAGCCAACCCTGACCGGGACTGCCTTCTGTCTGGAAACCGACTGCAGGAGAACATGTGGGTCAAGAATTGGGCTCCACAGCCATCTATGAAGCCACCGCCAAGACACCACACCTGGAAGACCATCATTCTCAAGCAACGAGGGATCACCTAAGTAGTGGGAGTTGTAGTTGTCAGAACCCCCATGACTAACAAAACATACTGGAGTCTTTGGAGGGATTTATGGAGGGATTTATAGGAGTTGTAGTTCACCTACAAACAGAATGCACTATGAACCCAAACAGTGATGGATCTGGACCAAACTTGGCGTGCAGACCCGATATGCCCACATTTGAATACTGGTAGGTCTTGAAGGGAATTGACCTGGACATTTTGGAGTTGTAGGTACTGGGATGTATAGTTCGCCTGCAATCACTGAACCCTCTGAACTCCATCAAAGATGGAATTGGACCAAACCTGGCACACAAAGCCCTCATGACCAGCAAAAATACTGGAAGTCTATGGGGAAAATTCACCTTGATTTGGGGGAGTTGTAGTTCACCTACATCCAGAGAACACTGTGAACACAAACACTGATGGATCTGGACCAAACTTGGCACGCAGACCTGATACTTGGCACTGGAGAGGTTTGGGGTGAACTGACCTTCCTTTCTGGGAGTTGTAGTTCACCCACGACGAGTGAAACTGTGACCTCCACCAATGATGGACCTGGACCACACTTAGCGCACTGAACCCCCATGACTCACTCAACCTACTGGAGGGGGCTGAGGGGACTGACTCACCCTAGTGGGAATTGTAGTTCACCCTGCAGCCATAGAGCACACTGAACCTCACCAAGGATTCATCCAGAGCAAACTTGCTCAATGTAACAAACTTCAAGTACTGATTGAGCTTTTCTGGGGGTTAACCAGGCATGATGGGAGTTGTAGTTCACCCACAACCTTAGGCATTTGGTGGAATTAAAACACTTACTTTCTCAAGTAAACTGGGCAACACCAGGTACCCAATATAAATAAAAATGCAATGTTCGTTTGTGGGATTAAAAGAACTCAAAAACCTCTGGACGAATTGACACCAAATTTGGACACAAGACACCTAACAACCCAATGTATGCCCTTCACTCCAAAAAATTGATTTTGTCATTTGGGAGTTGTAGTTGCTGGGATTTATAGTTCACCTACAATCAAAGAGCATTCTGAACCCCACCAACAATGGAATTAAACCAAACTTGGCACACAGAACTCCCATGAACAACAGAAAATACTGGAAGGGTTTGGTGGGCAGTGTCCTTTGGTTTTGGAGTTGTAGTTCACCTACATCCAGAGAGCACTATAGACTCAAACAACGATGGATCTGGACCAAACTCTACACGAATACTCAATATGCCCAGATGTGAACACTGGTGGAGTTTGGGGAAAATAAAATCTTGACATTTGGGAGTTGTAGTTGCTGGGATTTATAGTTCACCTACAATCACAGAGCATTCTGAACCCCACCAACGATAGAACTGAACCAACCTTTGCACACAGAACTCCCATGAACAACAGAAAATACTGGAAGGGTTTGGTGGGCAAGTGTCCTTTGGTTTTGGAGTTGTAGTTCACCTACATCCAGAGAGCACTATAGACTCAAACAACGATGGATCTGGACCAAACTCTACACGAATACTCAATATGCCAAAATGTGAACACTGGTGGAGTTTGGGGAAAATAGAATATTGACATTTGGGAGTTGTAGTTGCTGGGATTTATAGTTCACCTACAATCACAGAGCATTCTGAACCCCACCAATGATGGAATTGGGCCAAACCTCCCACACAGAACCCCCATGTGGGCCACAGCAATGCGTGGCAGGGGACGGCTAGTAAACAATAATAAATGATGCCAGCCAACCAATGATTGCACCAAGATAATACTCGATTCCAGCCTATCCGGTCCAAAAGTGGAATTAATATGTGATTGTATGCCATCCATAGATAATAATATGGGACTCCAGCCAAGGCTCACTGCATGATGGTTAATACTTAATACAAGTGGAAGGCTAGTTTGTGAGACTAACCAATCAGTGTAATACTTTATCCCAGCCAATCGGATCACATTGTGACAGCGATTCCAACCAATCAGGGATCTCAGCTTGATCCTAACACAGGATGATTCCAGCCAGCCAATCAGGGATCGCAGGATGATGGGTAAGACTTGATTCCAGCCAATCAGGGATCGCAGCGTGACGACAAGACCTCACCCAGCCAATCAGGGAGTAAATATAAAGTAAATAATAATAGATGCCAATGCTGTTTGGACCAAACCTTTGTGTGATCAACAATCAATCCAAGCTGAACGCGTATATTTTGCTATTAGATCCAATCAAATCTATGGATAACAAATTCCCACTTTGTTATCCATATCAGTCACATCTGATTTTGGAAGTCTGCAGACCTTAATAAATACACACACACACACACACATCCCGCCGCCCTGGCCCACCACAATAAACATTCAGCATTTCTTTTAGCCTTATAAACATGCCTGGATTCACTCTGGTGTTCAAAGGTGGGTTTAATGGGCCAAATGGCGTATCAACATCTGTACAATCTGCAGGTTCCCTGGCTACAACTACATTGAGGAGCTCTGTGCAGTTTCCGGCCACGTTTCGTTTAGATGATGCCAATCTGGAAGAGAAACACGAGATATTACATTCATTGAGGCATCCGTAGCTTAAATGTTTTGGAATCTGTAATTTAAGACAAGACTGTCCAACTCTGATTAAGCCATTATTCTAACCTTTGAGGTAAATAGGGCTTATGTATCCTTCTGATAATAGTAATAATAAAGAGCGTAAAATAATAAATGTAATAATAGAGTAAAATAATGTTATAAAAATAATAAATCAAGTAAAATAATATTTGTCGTAATAATAATAGAGTAAAATAATGGAAATGTAATAACAGTAATAATAGAGTAAAATTATAAATGTAACAGTAAGTAGTAAAATAATAAATGGAATAATAGAGTAAAAGAATGTTATAAAAATAATAAATCAATTATTATTATTATTATTATTAACTTTATTTGTACCCCGCTAGCATCTCCCGAAGGACTCGATGCGGCTTACAAAGGCCAAGGCCTCAAAACACATCATAACAATATAAAACCTAAAGCAAATTAAAAACAATAGCAAAATAACAACAATAGCAGTACATCAAGACATTATTAAAACTGGTTCGGCCGGCGCACTGGGTACAAGGGATTAAAAGTGCTGAAATGGCAGGAGGCACGAAGGATTTCAAGTGCGGTGTGCAGTAACGATTTGTTATGCTAAGGTGCTATTTGGACTTGGGGTGGGGATTCCTAATCTGAGAAAGCACAACGGAACAGCCAAGTTTTTAAATTCCTTCTGAAAACGGCTAGAGTAGGGGCCTGTCTGAGATCTTTTGGGAGGGCGTTCCAAAGTCGGGGGGCCGCCACAGAAAAGGCCCTGTCCCGTGTCCCCACCAAGCGCGCTTGCGACGTAGGTGGGATCACGAGCAGGGCCTCTCCAGATGACCGGAGCGATCGTGTGGGTTCGTAGATAGTGATGCGGTCACGCAGGTAGGGTGGTCCCAAACCGTTTAGGGCTTTGTAGGTAAGCACCTGCACCTTGAATTGGGCTCGGAAAATAAACGGCAGCCAGTGGAGCTCCTTAAACAGAGGGGTAGACCTCTCTTGATAATGAGCCCCAGTTAACATCCTGGCAGCTGCCCGCTGGACCAATTGAAGTTTCCGAGCCGTCTTCAAGGGCAGCCCCACGTAGAGCGCATTGCAGTAATCCATTCTAGAGGTGACCAAGGCGTGGACCACCCTGGCCAGATCAGCCTTCACGAGGTATGGTGAATCAAGTAAAATAAAGTAAAATAAAATATGTAAAATAAATCAAGTAAAATAAAATATGTCATAATAATAACAGAGTAAAATAATAGAAATGTAATAATAGAGTAAAATTATAAATGTAATAATAAATAGTAAAATAATAAATGGAATAACAGAGTAAAATAATGTTATAAAAATTAGCAAGTAAAATAATATATGCCATAATAATACAGTAAAATAATGGAAATGTAATAGTAACAGTAATAATACAGTAAAATTATAAATGTAACAATTAGTAAAATAATAAATGGAATAATTCAGTAAAATAATGTCATAAAAATAATAAGTAATATATGTCATAATAATAATACATTATTATTATTATATAATACATAATGACAACAGAGTAAAATAATGGAAATGTAATAAGAACAGTAATAATAGAGTAAAATTATAAATGTAACAATAAGTAGTAAAATAACAAGTGGAATAATAGTAAAATAATAAATGTAATAATAGAGTAAAATAATGTTATAAAATAATAAATTAAGAAAAATAATATATGTCATAATAATAAAAAGAGTAAAATAATGGAAATGTAATAACAGTAATAATAGAGTAAAATTATAAATGTAACAATAAGTAGTAAAATAATTAATGGAATAATAGTAAAATAATAAATGTATTAAAAGAGTAAAATAACGTTATAAAAATAATACATCAAGTAAAGTAATATTTGTCATAATAATAGAATAAAATAATGGAAATGTAAGAACAGTAATAATAGAGTAAAATAATGTAAATGTAATAAGAGTATAATAAATGTAATAAAAATCAGAGTAAAATAAAAACTGTAATAGAGTAAAATAATGTAATAAAATAATAAATGTAATAATAGAGTAAAATAATAAAATATTAAATGTAATAGTAATAGAGTAAAATAATGTAAATGTGATACTAACAGTAATAATAATAAAGTAAAATTATAAATGTTACAAGTAGTAAAATAATAAATGGAATGATAATAATACATAGGGGAAAATAATGGAAATGTAATAAGAGTATAATAAATGTAATAATATCAGAGTAAAATAAAAAATGTAATAATAATAATAATAATAATAGAATAAAATAATAAATGAAATAAAATAAATGTAATAATAATAATTATTATAAATAAACAACTTTGACTTGAGTATAAGCCGAGGGGGGATTTTTCAGCCTCAAAAAAAAGGCTGGGAAACTCGGCTTACACTCAAATATATACAGTATATTTAATGCTTTCCTTATAAAACCTGCTTAGAAAATCTAGTCTGATTTGGATGAATATACTCTATAGCATAATGTAATAATACAGAAAAACAATGCTAAAAAAATAATAAATCAAGTAAAATAATATTTGTTATAACAATAATAGAGTAAAATAATGAAAATGTAAGAACAGTAATAATAGAGTAAAATTATAAATGTTACACATAGCAAAATAAAAAATGTAATAAAATAAAAATGTAATAACAATGATAGAGTAAAATAATAAATGAAATAAAATAATAAATGTAATAGTAATAAAGTAATAAATAACGTTGACTTGAGTATAAGCTGAGGGGGGCTTTTTCAGCCTCAAAAAAAAAACTGGGAAACTCGGCTTATACTCAAATATATTTACTGCTCTCCTTATAAATCCAGTCTGATTTGGATGAATATACTTTATAGCATTATAGACGCATTTAATCATGGCAAAAGATACTGCACCCAAATACCAGAAATGTAAAGGACCTTGAGGCCTGACAACAAACATTTTCAAGCAACTGGTAGCCACTAATATTAGTATTATAGTTATTACTTTATTATTGTTTACATTTCATGCTTATTATATTATTTCTCCCAGAAGTCCCTTCTCTCTTAGTTGTTTTGTTTTGGGTATTTTGTGAGTCGGGTTGTCTCATTTAAGAGAGGAAAGTGGGATATAGATCATCCCCATCCCCCTCATCTCACCTTATTGGCTACATCTAGAGCGTCGTAATCTGGAGCCAGACGAACGTAGGCCTTCTTCTCGCCGTCGGGCCTGAAATAAAAGGCAGGAGGAATGAGCTCCAAGACTGAATCTATATTTATAACTTCTCTTGCTAAGGCTACAACTCCCAAGACCCCATAACAGTTGAAGTGGTATTAAACTGCATTAATTCTACAGTATAGATTCACAAGTCAAGCTTGGAATGGACTGAGTTTTGTGTCAATGGATCTCCCCTCTCTTGCTCCTCAACAAACCCGACATTTTAAAGAAGTATTGCATATTTAAGGAAGGCTCTCAGTGCATCAGTGGTTCCTTTGAAAGCATCACTGGGCTCAGTTCGAAAGTGTTTTCCATCATCTGCGCAGAGAAACCTTCCACCTATTATACCTTAATAATAATAATAATAATAATAATAATAATAATAATAATTTTATTTGTAAATAAAAATAAATAAATATTTATTAATTTATAAAAATAAATAAATAAATATTTATAAATATAAATAAAAATAAATAAAAATTTATTTATGAATAGAATAAATATTTATTTATAAATAATAAATAAAATAAATATTTATTTATAAATAAAACTAAATAAATATTTATTTATAAATAAAACTAAATAAATATTTATTTATTTATAAATATAAATAAATATTTATTTATAAATATAAATAAAATAAATAAATACATATTTATTTATAAATAAAAATAAATATTTATTTAGTTTTATTTATAAATAAATAAAACTAAATAAATATTTATTTATTTATAAATATAAATAATAAATAAATATTTTTGAATAAAAATAACTAAAATATTTATTTATAAATAAATAAAATAAATATTTATAAATAAATAAATATTTATTTATTTATTTATAAATAAATAAATACCATCTCCGCAAGGGGACTTAGGGCGGCTTACATGAGGCCAAGCCCAGCAATACAGTAAAACAATATAACACAAGAACACAACAGAAAATAAGAAAAAATAAAATAAAATACAAAAAACAATATATACTAGAGGCATCACCTGATCAGCGTGTTGACTTTTGCCACGTCAATGTCGTACAGCTTCTTGACGGCCTGCTTGATCTGGTGCTTGTTGGCCTTGACGTCCACAATGAAGACCAAGGTGTTGTTGTCCTCGATCTTCTTCATGGCCGACTCCGTGGTCAGCGGGAACTTGATGATGGCGTAATGGTCCAACCTGAAAAGCAGAAGGAAGGCACGGTTATGTTACCGGCACTGCAAGATACGGGTCTTCAAACTCCAAGGCATGAGCGCATCAGTGACTATGAGCTGTAATCACAACCAGTCAGGCTTTGGTCGCTAAGTCATCATCATGTGCAGCTCTGGTTCTGGATGGCCATCTGTCAGGAGGGCTTTGACTACATCCTCCCGCCTGGCAGGATGGGGTTGGATTGGATGACCTGTTGGAGTCTTGGCCAACTCTAGGATTTGGCACTGAGGGCAACTTACTTGTTCCTCCTAGGCGCGCTCTTCCGGGGGTATTTGGGCTGCCGCCGTAACCGCAGGGTTTTGGGCCTCCGGAAAGTGGGGGACGTGCGCATCTTCTTCTTCTTGTGGCTGTGGACCCCTTTCAGGACCGCCTTCTTGGCTTTCAGGGCCTTGGATTTCGCCTCGGTCTTTGCCGGGACAGCTGCAAAGGAGAAGCAGGACTCAGAAATGGACTTCCAGCCTCAATCTTGTCCCTCAGGGGAGTTCTCCTGTGTCAGGTGTGGTTACATCTCCCCCTGAAGATGCAGGTTTGCAGTCTGGGGGTGATCCTGAACCCATTGCTGACCCTGGAACCCCAGCTGGCCTAGGAGCGCCTTTGCTCAGTTAAAACTTGTGAGGCAGCTGCCGGATGTGTTGCAATCTCATGTCCCCGAAGAGAAATAGCAGCCAGCAATGAAAGGACCAAGGCATGGACATCCCAGGCCCATCCTCGGTTTGGGTATCAGCCAGCATACCAACGCGTTAAATTAAAAAAGAGCTTCCAAAGATCTACAGAGATACTCTCAGGAACACCTCAGCAAGCGAGAGTCCAAAAGTGGCAGGCTAATTTATTTATTTATGGCATTTATATGCTGCCCTTCACACCCCGAAGGGGACTCAGAGCGGCTTACAAGATATATTTGCATACAATATAATAATAATAATAAACCTGTCCGAACGTATTCTCCCCTATGAACCATCTAGGTTGTTAAGATCGTATGGAGGGGCCCTGCTCTCGGTCCCACTGGCCTCTCAGGCATGTCTGGTGGAGACGAGGGACAGGGCCTTCTTGGTGGTGGCCCCTCGACTCTGGAACTCTCTCCCTCGGGAGATCAGAACTGCCCCCTCCATTCTGTCATTCAGAAAACGGGTGAAAACCTGGCTATGGGGTTTGGCTTTCGACGAGTGAATCAATATTTCTGTGATCGGATAGATGACAATGAATGATGGACAACGAATTCACTATGACGACTGACCATTGTTATTATGTGATGGCATTTTGCTGTTATAACATTTTAATTGAATATGTTATAGGGTGTTTTTAATGATTGCTTTGTGATTTTATTGTTGGAAACCGGCATACAAAATTGCTAAATAGGGGAAAAGACCGGCATACAAAATTGCTAAATAAAATAAAATAAATAAACTTTATTTATACCACGCTTCACCCACCCCCCCGGGGGACTCGGTACAACTTACATGAGGCCACACCCATCGATACAATACAAACAATATAACACAAAACATAGTGGAACCAAGCAAAATACATAAAATGCAAAATCAAAATAATACATGACACAACAATATAAAACCAAGCATTAAAAACACAGAAAATTTCACTATGCAGGGCCAGATTCAAGGATATATTTTTTAAAAAATTCAAAACACCGGGAGATATATTATTAGCATAATACAATATCAGTATTATATATTACTATATTGCACGATACCATTATATTGTAATATTATTAGTAATATTACATGTAATGTAAATATATAATTATAATATTGTATTATTACTAGTATTATATTGTATTACATTATAGTATTATAAAAACTATATGTAAATACAATATACTATATTATATTATTAGTAAAGACAAGATGGAACTGTCTTCTGCTCCCCTCTGTCTTCACTCTGGCCAGAGCAGCAGTTGGTGACAGAGGGGGAAGGGGCCTCCCAACTGATGATAAAACCTAGAACCTCAACCCATGGCTGATACCCAATGAGAGACTCCCCCCTGGGCACACAGAAGGCTGGGCGAATTGGAAGCTGCTGAATAGGCTGCGCTCCGGCACCACGAGATGCAGAGCCAACCTTCAGAAATGGGGCTACAAAGTGGAGTCCACGACCTGCGAGTGTGGAGAAGAGCAAACCACTGACCACCTGCTGCAATGCAGCCTGAGCCCTGCCACATGATGCACAATGGAGGACCTCCTTGCAGCAACACCAGAGGCACTCCAAGTGGCCAGATACTGCTCAAAGGACATTTAGTACAATGCCAAGTTTTAAAACTTTGTGTCTTTTTAATACATGACAACTGTACTCTTAGTTCACTCCTGAGACGATAAATTAAAATATTATTATACCTAAAAAGACTAAGACTATTTTGGGTTTTGGATGGTTTGTATTGCATGTGTGTTTATTGTATCAGGCATTGAATGTTTCCCTTTTTGTATTGGAATCTGCCCTGAGATAGGGCAGAATATAAATAAAGTTTATTATTATTTAGTACTTAGGGTAAAAGTTTTCCCCTGACATTAAGTCTAGTTGTGTCCGACTCTGGTGCTCGTCACCATGTCTAAGCCGAAGAGCCGGCATTGTTCGTAGACACCTCCAAGGTCATGTGGCCAGCATGACCGCATGAAGTGCTGTTGCCTTTCCACCGGAGTGGTACCTATTGATCTACTCACATTTGCATGTTTTTGAAGTGCTCGGTTGGCAGAGGCTGGAGCTAATAATTATTATATATTTATGTTATTGTTTTATATGTGATTTATATTTATATTAATTGTATTGTTTTATTTGCTTACTGCTTTTTGTCTTTTGATGTATTGTTGGGCTTGGCCTCATGTAAGCTGCTCCAAGTCCCCTTGAGGAGATGGTGGTGGGGTATAAATAACGTTTTATTATTATTATATATAGTTTCTCAGTTGTCCCAATGTATAGTGAGTTTTGGGAGGATTTATACAATTTTAACATGCCATTCTATATAACAGGACTTGATAACCTCACTTTTATATTAGCTTGCATTGAAGCTGTGGATTCCTGCCTGGAAACGTGTTGGATGACATGACCTTTGAAGGTCCCCTCAAACCCCTCCATGGTCATGTGGCCACTGGCATTACCTTCCTAAAATAACTCGAAAACCACTGGCTCGAGAGCAGTATGTGTGAAAAAGATCTTGTAGTCCTCGTGGACAAGTTAAACATGAGCCAACAATGTGATGTGGCGGCAAAAAAGGCCAATGGGATTTTGGCCTGCATGAAGAGGAGCCTAGTGTCTAGATCGAGGGAAGTCCTGCTCCCCATGCTCCATTCCGCTTTGGTTAGACCACACCTGGAATATTGTGTCTATTTCTGGGCACCACAATTCAAGAGAGATGTTGACTCTAAGCTGGAATGTGTCCAGAGAAAGAGGGCGACTCAAATGATCAAGGGTCTGGAGAACAAGCCCTATGAGGTGCGGCTTAAGGAGCTGGGCATATTAAGCCTGAAGAAGAGAAGGCTGAGAGGAGACATGATGAGGGCCAGGGATACATATGTGAGAGGAAGTCACAGGGAGGAGGGAGCGAGCTTCCTTTCTGCTTCCCTGGAAGCTAGGACGCAATGGAACTATGGCTTCAAACTACAAGAGAGGAGATTCCACCTGAACATAAGGAAGAACTTCCTGACTGTGGGAGCCGTTCAGCAGTGGAACTCTCTGCCTCAGAGGGAGTGTGGTGGAGGCTCCTTCTTTGGAAGCTTTGAAGCAGAGGCTGGATGGCCATCTGTCAGGGGTGCTTTGAATGCAATATTCCTGCTTCTTGGCAGAATGGGGTTGGACTGGATGATGGCCCAGGAGGTCTCTTCCCACTCTAGGATTCTATGACTAGACGGCCTCTGAGGTTGCCTTCCCTATGTTATAGTATGGATCCCTACCAGAAAAGGCCTGAGACCTTTATTATTATTATTATTATTCAATACAGCCTAACATACTTTGGCATCTAGTATTATTATTCTGCTTAAACATATTTTCTATTCCTCACCACTGTACTCCTCCCCCCCCCCCCAAGCCACTACTTGTACATGTCATCTGTCCAAAATTTCAATTCTTCTTGTGGAGGTAACTTTCCTTATTTATTTTTTAATCCCTTTACAATAAATTTTCTCCAAACATCATCAAAACCACTTTGTTTCCATATCCCTCTTTTAACTTTTAATATACATGTCAGCTGATCACTTATTGCCAGTTTCGATACTTCCCTATACCATTCCTCTATTTGTATATTTATTTATTTCTTTTTTCCAGTTCCTTGCTATAAGCAGTTTTGCTATTGTTAATAAATTTGTTATCGCTTCTTTAACCTCTGGCCCAGTCTGTGTATATGGATTTTGTGTGTGTATATGTAGGAAGGACTTCCTGACTGTGAGAGCTGTTCAGCAGTGGAACTCTCTGCCCCGGAATGTGGTGGAGGCTCCCTCTTTGGAGGCTTTTAAACGGAGGCTGGATGGCCACCTGTCAGGGGTGATTTGAATGGAATATTCCTGCTTCTTGGCAGAATGGGGTTGGACTGGATGATGGCCCACGAGGTCTCTTCCAACTCTTTGATTCTAGGATTCCATGACTAGACGGCCTCTGGGGTTGCCTTCCCTATGTCATAGCATGGATCCCTACCAGAAAAGGCCTGAGGCCTAGTGGGAAGAGCCAGGCTCTCCCTTGAGGGCTTCCAAGCCATAGGCCCACCACCTTTAGGCTCCCTATTACAGGCGAAGACTCCCCTCTAGAGTGCTACAACGAGGCCTCTCCCCTCCCCGGGCTCCTTAGCCACCCTCTCCCCGCTCCCCCGGCTCCACACCCCCGGCTGGGCCCCTCCACGCCGCCCTTTCCCGGAGCCTCACCCTCCTTCTTCACTTTCGGCGCCATCTTGGAAAGAGAGAGAGAGAGAGAGAGAGAGAAAGGCCGCCGCGTGAGCCTCGCCGGGGCTGATCCCGCCAAGTCTCGCGAGGATACGGACTCCCAGCGACGCGGGAGGACAAACCGAAGTCCCTCATTGGCTGCGGACGCGTGGCCACGCCCACATGGAGGGAGCGCTTCCCAACCGGAGCATGCGCAGAAAGGAGGTCGGGTTTCCTCTCAGGCCTCGTTACTCCCACTAGGCCTCAGGAGTTTTCTCATCTCTCTTGAATTCCAGCCTTGGCTTTTAGGCGTTTCTACTTTTTAAAAAGAGTTTTAACAACTAATAACTGGATATATACTTTCTATTTTGGGGGATGTTCAACCATTAATTAATCAATATATTTATAAACAGATATAGATGCATTCTAGACCATTAATAAATAGAGATATATACTTTTTAAAGGGTTTTCAACCATTAATCAATAGATACATGCTTTTATTTGAGGGGTGTATTGCAATTATTAATTTATGGGTTTCAACCATTAATAAATAGATATATTTGGGGGGTATTTCATTTATTTATTTATATTTATATAGAGATATATTAATATCTATATTAATATATATCTATTTTAGGGGTTTGAACCATTAATCAATAGATACATGCTTTTATTTGGAGGGGAGGTATTTCAATTAGATATATATATATATATGTATGGGGTTTCAACCATTAATAAGTAGATATATGCTTTTATTGGGATTATATATATTAAGGGTTTTAACTATTAATAAATAGATATATTCTTTTATTTTGGGGTGTATTACAATATTATATATATATATATCCATATTAATATTAATCTATTTTAGGGGTTTCAAACATTAATAAATAGCTATATGCTTTTATTTTGGGGGGTATTTCAATTATATATATATATATATATATATATATATATATATATACACACACACATACATATATACATATATATACACACACACACCTATCTATATATCTATAGATAGGTATATATCTATTTATTAATGGTTGAAACCCCTAAAATAGATATTATATATCTATTTCAGGGGTTTCAACCATTAATAAATAGATATATAATACAATTTTAAATAGATATATATATAATTTTATTTATATATATAATTTTATATATATATACATATATATAATTTTATATATATATAAAAATTATATATATATAATTTTATATATATATAAAAGTATAGATATATATAGATATAAAATATATAAACTATATTAATATATATGTTAGGGGTTTCAAACATTAATAAATAGATACATGCTTTTATTTGGGGGATTATTTCAATTATTAATATATATCTCTATATATAAATATTAATATCTGTCTATATTAATATATATCTTTTTGGGGGTTTCAACCATTAATAAATCGATATATGCTTTTATTTGGGGGGTTATTTCTATTATATATATATCTGTATTAATATATATGTATTTTAGGGGTTTCAACCATTAATAAATAGATACATTCTTTTATTTGGGGGGGGGTGTATGTATGTATGTGTGCGTGTGTGTGTGTATATATATATATATAATATGTGTGTGTGTGTGTGTATATATATATATATATATATATATATATATATATATATATAAATAATTTGATTTTGGGGGATTTCTAACAATTAATATATATGTTTATAAATAGACTAGCTTTGGTATCCGGCATTCCATCACGCCAGGTTAACCCCCTGAAAAGCTCCATCAGTCCTTAAAGTTTGTTCTGTTGGGCAAGTTTGTTCTGGATGCATCATAGATGGGGCTCAGTGAGTTTTCTGTCTGTAGGGTAAACTACAAATCCCACTATGGTGAGTCGGTCCCCTCAAACCCCTCCAGTAGGTTGACTTAGTCATGATGGTTCTGTGTGCCAAGTTTGGTCCAGGTCCATCATTGGTGGAGGTCACATTTTCCCTGCTTGTGGGTGAACTACAACTCCCAGAAAGGAAGATCAGTTCCCCTTCCCAAACCCCTCCAGTGATCAAATTTTAGCATACCAGGTCTGTGTGCCAAGTTTAGTCCAGACCCATCAGTGTTTGGTTTCACAGTGCTCTCTGGATGTAGGTGAACTACAACTCCCCCAAACCAAGTTGAATTTTTCCCATAGACTGCCAGTATTTTTTGCTGGTCATGGGGGCTCTGTATGCCAGGTTTGGTTCAATTCCATCTTTGATGGATATCAAAATGCTCCTTGATTGCAGGTGAACTATACATCCCAGTACCTACAACTCCAACATGTCCAGGCCAATTCCCCTCCAAACCCACCAGTATTCAAATGTGGGCATATCGGGTCTGCATGCCAAGTTTGGTCCAGATCCATCCTTGTTTGGGTTCATTGTGCGCTCTGGATGTAGGTGAACTACAACTCCTCTAAATCCCTCCAAAGACCTCCAATATGTTTTGTTGGTCAGGGTATTCTGTATGCCAAGTTAGCTCCAGGTCCATCGTTGATGGAGTCCATAGTGCAGTTCTTAGATTGCAGGTGAACTATAAATCCCATGACCTACAATTCCTCTAAATCCTGGTGAATTCTCCCCAAACCACTCTAGTATGTTCAGTTGCTGATCAATTCCTCTGTTTGCTGTGTGCCATAGAAAAGAATAGGAAAGGGTTAAAGGAGAAGCAGTGGGCGAGGTCATGCAAATTCAACACCTATGGAGAGTCAGAAACACTGGGATGCCTGTGGTGGAGGAAACACATACAATCTAAGATGGAATGCAAAGCCTTCCCATGGGGGGTGGGCAGTCTGGTGTTGGTGGGGGACACTGGCAGGTCTCATGAGTATGTTCAGGGTGCTCGCTATAACCTGGAATATCAGTGGAGGGAGGGACATGGGTGTCTCCTGCTCTCTGGGTTGTCTGTGGTGGAGGAAACACATACAATCTACAATGGAATTGTCCCTGAATGAAAGCCTTCACTTGAGTGGAGGGCCGTGTGGTGGTGGTGGTGGAGGACATTGGCAGGGCTCTTGAGCATGTTCATGGTTCTCACAATAACCTGCAATGTCAGTGGAGGGAGGGGAATGAGTGTTTCCTGCTCACTGGGGTGTCTGTGGTGGAGGAAACACATACAGTCTAGGATGGTGCTGTCTGAAAGCTTTCCCTTGGGTAGTAGGCAGTGTGGTGTTGGTGGAGGACATTGGCAGGGCTCTTGGACACGTTTATGGTGTCCACCATAACATGCAATATCAGTGGAGAGAGGGACATGGGTGTCTCCTGCTCACTGGGGTGTCTGTAGTGGAGAAAACACATAATCTAGGACGGAACTATCCCCAAATAAGAGCCTTCCCTTGGGTGGTGGGCAGTGTGGTGTTGGTGGAGGAGATTGGCAGGGCTCTTGGACATGTTCATGGCACTCACTCCAACCTACAATGCCATTGGAGGGAGGGACATGGGTGTCTCCTGCTCACTGGGGTGTCTGTGGTGGAGGAAAGTCGTACAATCTAGGATGGAATTGCCCCCGAATGAAGGCCTTCCTTTGTGTGGTGGGCAATGTAGTGTTGGTGGAGGACATTGGCAGGGCTCTACCACATGTTCAGGGCACTCGCTATAACCTGCAATGTCAGTGGAGGGAGGGCCTTTCGTGTTTCCTGAGAGAGAGTAAGAAACACTGGAATGTCTGTGGTGGAGGAAACACGTAAAATCTGGGAGGAAATTGTCCCCGAATGAAAGCCTTCCTTTGGGTGGTGGGCAGTGTGGTGTTGTTGGAGGACATGGGGAGGGCTCTTGGACACGTTTATGGTGCTCACCATAACCTGCAATGTCAGTGGAGGGAGGGACATGGGTGTCTCCTGCTCACTGGGGTGTATGTGGTGGAGGAAACACATACAATCTAGGGTGGAATTGTCCCAAATGAAAGCCTTCCCTTGGGTGGTGGGCAGTGTGGTGTTTGTGGAGGACAGGGCTCTTGAGCATGTTAATGTCAGTGGAGGGAGGCACATGGGTGTCTCCTGCTCACTGGGGTGTCTGTGGTGGAGGAAACACAATCTAGGATGGAATTATCCCTTTCTGAAAGCCTTCTCTTGGGTGATGGGCAGTGTGGTGTTGGTGGGGACATTGGCAGGGCTCTTGAGCATGTTCATGGCACTCACTATAACCTGCAATGTCACTGGAGGAAAGGACATGGGTGTCTCCTGCTCACTGGGATGCCTGTGGTGGAGGAAGCACATACAATCTAGGATGGAATTGTTCCTTCCCTTGGGTAGTGGGCAGTGTGATGTTGGTGGAGGACATTGGCAGGGCTCTTGGAGATGTTCACGGGACTCACTATAACTTGCAATGTCAGTGGAAGGAGGGACATGGGTGTCTCCTGCTCACTGGGGTCTGTGGTGGAGGAAACACAATCTAGGATGGAATTATCCCAAAATGGAAGCCTTTCTTTGGGTGGTGGGCAGTGTGGCGTTGGTGGAGGACATTGGCAGGGCTCTTGAGCATGTTAATGTCAGTGGAAGGAGGGATATGGGTGTCTCCTGCTCACTGGGGTGTCTGTGGAGGAGGAAACACAATCTAGGATGGAATTATCCCCAAATGAAAGCCTGTCTTTGGGTGGTGGGCAGTGTGGTGCTGGTGGAGGACATTGGCATGGTACTCACCATAACCTGCAATGTCAGTGGAGGGAGGGACATGGGTGTCTCCTGCTCACTGGGGTGTCTGTGGTGGAGGAAACACATACATTCTAGGATGGAATTGTCCCCGTATTTTGACAACCAAGTGGACACACTCTATACTTAATTTTTTAGGATTTCCAACAATCCTTATTTACTTTGTTTAGGATTTTTCTTGCAAACCAACCTATAAATGAACTTTATTTTTTTAGGGTGTCCTTACTAAATAAGCCGATAAATCAGCTGTCTGGCTTCCGCTTTGACCTCAATTCAATTATTTTTACTCCAAACCCGAGGAGATGCGTGGAATTCCGGTTCCCAAAGGGCCTCAATGGCTCCATTCTCTTTTGTGAGTATTTGCTTATTTTCTTTACGGAAATGTTTGCTTCCTGCCCTCGATCATGGGACCTCCGGGATGCCTGTAATCAAGTCCGTTTAAGTAGTCTAGCGAATCCATTGAGTGTCAGACAGACAAGGAAAGGCCTTGTGTTGCAAAATTATTAGTCTTGGACTACAATGTCCAGAATCCCCAATGCGGCTGTAGTCTAAGCACTCCACATATGCTCAGAGGCTACCACTGCGGTCCCATTCAGTTCATACATTGCATATCTCTCCCTCTCCATTGAATTGAATTGAATTGAATTGAATGGCCTTGCAGCTTCAAAGCCTGGCTGCTTCCTGTTTGGGGGAATCCCATGTTGGGAGGCGTTAGCTCCCAACATAGCAATCTTTTCTATATTATTATTATTATTATTATTATTATATTATTATTATTATTATTATTATTTATTGTATTTCATTATATTTTTATTTAAATAATCTAAATTTTATATTTTCTTACTATAATTTTTATTACTGTATATTGCATTTTATTATTACGGTATATATTAATTTTATTATTGGTGTATGGTTATATACTATAGTTTTATTTTATCATTATTGCATTTTTTATTTTATTATTAGGATGTTATATTTTACCTTTATTTATATTATTACTGTGGTATATATTCATTTTATAATTGGTTTATGATTATATATTATTAGTTTTATTTTATCACTATTCTATTTTTATTTTATTATTACGATGATACATTTTATCTTTGTCGATATTATTATTATTATTGCATGGTATATATTAATTTTATTATTGGTGTATGAATATATAGTTTTATTTTATCATTATTCTATTTTTATTTTATTATTGGTAGATTTTATCTTTGTCGATATTATTATTAATATACTGCATATATTAATTTTATTATTGGTGTATGATTATATATTATATTATAGTTTTTTTATCATTATTCAATGATAGATTTTATCTTTTTTGATATTATTATTATTGTACAGTATATATTAATTTTATTATTAGTGTATGATTATATATTATAGTTTTATTTTATAATTATTCTATTTTTATGTTATTGTTACCATAATAGATTTTATCTTTATCGATACTATTATTACCATGGTATATATTAATTTTATTATTGGTGTATGATTATATATTACATTATAGTTCAGACAAGCACCCCGAGCTCTGAGGATTATGACCTGGGAAGAAAGGAACCCCACTGGAGCCTTGCAGCGCACCCAAATACCTGGGAGTCACTCTGGACTGCGTTCTGACCTACAAGAAGCACTGCCTGAACATCAAGCAAAAAGTGGGTGCTAGAAACAATATCATAGGAAAGCTGACTGGCATAACCTGGGGATCACAACCAGACACAGTGAAGACATCTGCCCTTGCACTGTGCTACTCTGCTGCTGAGTACGCATGCCCAGTGTGGAACACATCTCACCACACTAAAACAGTGGATGTGGCTCTTAATGAGACATGCCGCATTATCACGGGGTGTCTGCGCCCTACACCACTGGAGAAATTACACTGCTTAGCCGGTATTGCACCACCTGACATCCGCCAGGAAGTAGCAGCCAATAGTGAAAGGACCAAGGCAGGGACATCTCTGGCCCATCTTCTGTTTGGATATCAGCCAGCACATCAATGACTTAAATCAAGACATAGTTTTCTAAGATCTACAGAGACACTCGCTGGAATACCTCAGCAAGCAAGAGTCCAAAGGTGGCAGGCTCTAACCCAGGACCTCAACCAATGGCTGATATCAAATGAGAGACTCCCTCCTGGGCACACAAAAGAAGACTGGGCGACTTGGAAGGCGCTGAACAGATTGCGCTCGGGCACCACGAGATGCAGAGCCAACCTCAAGAAATGGGGCCACAAAGTGGAGTCCATGACCTGCAAGTGTGGAGAAGAAGAGCCAACCACTGACCACCTGCTGCAATGCGCCCTGAGCCCTGCCACATGCACAAGGGAGACCTCCTTGCGGCCACACCAGAGGCACTCCAAGGGGCCAGAGACTGGTCAAAGGACATTTAATCCACTACCAAGCTTGCAAATGTTGTGTTTTGTCTGTTTGTTTGCTTTGTTTCTGTTAGAAATGTAATATAATTGACTGGTTGCTGCTGACACAACAAATAAATATTATAGTTTTATTTTATCATTATTCTATTTTTATTTTATTACGATGATACATTTTATCTTTATCAATTATTATTATTATTTTATTTCCAAGCCCTGGGTGCAAAATAAAGTTTTGTCGGATGCTATTGAGGGGGGAGAGAGAGCAAAGGGTGCCTCTGAGCATGGGCAGAGTGCAAACACACACCGAGACCCTTCCTTTCCTTCTTTGCAAAAAGTTTGCAAAGTTTGGACCAATCAGGGATGGGCTTGGGAAAAGAAGGGGGGGATAGGAAGTGGGCGTGGCCTCCCTCTCCCTAATTAGGAGCAGATGCTTCCAGTCTGGAAGAGGATCAACAGCCCAAAGAAAGAAAGAGGAGAAGGAGGAGAAGGAGGAGGTAAGGCAGGCTTTGCCTTTCTTTCCCTTGGCCCAACTCTCTCCCACTCTGTAGGACTACAAAGCCCATCCAGCCCTAACAGGAGGTGCCTCTGAGCATGGGCTGAGAGCAGAGCAAGATCTTAAGGCATGAAAGGAGATTTATTTTCCCCCCATTTTTTGCTTTTCCTCCTCTTCCCTCCTTTGCTGGAATTTCCGGGGATCAGGTTACAGATCCCCTCCTTTTCCTCCTCCAAACTTTTCCTCTGCGGCCGGGAAACCCGAAAGCCCCAAAATAAGGGGTCCCTCTCTATTCCCCCTTTCCATTGCACGCACCCCGTCTTTGCTACATTATTATTATTATTATTATTATTATTATTATTATTGACACAAAAGCACCGTATGTCACAGCAAACGAGATCTATATGCAGGATTTTGTTATTTTTATTATTATTATTATTATTATTATTATTATTATTATTATAACATGATTTTAGTAAATATATATTTTACAGACTGATATTGCACATACCCCGTCTTTGCTACATTATAATTATAATAATAATAATTATTATTATTATTATTATAACATGCTTTTAGTAAATATATTTTACTGACTGATATTGCACCTACCCCGTCTTTGCTACATTATTATTATTATTATTATTATTATTATTATTGACACAAAAGCACTGTATGTCACAGTAAACGAGATCTATATGCTGGATTTAGTTATTATTATTATTATTATTATTATTATTATTATTATTATTATAACATGCTTTTAGTAAATATATTTTACTGACCGATATTGCACATCTGATCTTGCACGCACCGCGTCTTTGCTACATTATTATTATTATTATTATTATTATTATTATTATAACATGCTTTTAGTAAATATATTTTACTGACGGATATATTGTTGCTTTTAGTGGATACTATTTATTTATTCCCACTTTCTAGTCGGAAGAGTTTTATCAGGAGATCAATTGGGCATAACAAGACCTTTCCCTTTTACTTCCTCTACTGCGATTATTATTATTATTATTATTATTATTATTATTATTATTATTATTGTCTCCAAAGAGTTATCAGGACATTCATTGTCCACTATAAGATCTTTCCCTTCTTTTCCTTGTATTATTGTTGTTGTATTTATTATTACTACTGACTGGTCGAAAGAGTTATCGGCACATCCACAACAAGACCTTTTCCTCCTCCTATTATTATTATTATTCTATTTATTATTACTAATGTTTAGTCGAAAGAGTTATCGGCACATCCACAACAAGACCTTTTCCTCCTCCTATTATTATTATTATTGTATTTATTATTACTATTGTCTGGTCGAAACAGTTATCGGGACATCCATAACAAGACCTTTTCCTTCTCCTCCTATTATTATTATTATTATTATTATTATTATTATTATTATTAACGGATTTATTATTACTACTGTCTAGTCGAAAGAGTTATCGACACATCCACAAGACCTTTTCCTTCCATTATTATTATTATTATTATTATTATTATTATTATTATTATTATCGGAGTTATTATTACTACTGTCTATTGGCATATCCACAAGACCTTTTCCTCCTTCCTATTATTATTATTGTTGTTGTTGTTGTATTTATTATTACTACTGTCTAGTCGAAAAAGTTATCAGGACATCCACAACAAAACCTTTTCCTCCTCCTATTATTATTATTATTATTATTATTATTATTATTATTATATTTATTATTATAACTGACTGGCCAAAAGACCTATCGGGGCATTATAAAGAGTTATGAGGATATCCATTGCCCACTACAAACCCTTTTCCTTCTCCTTTCCCTTCTATTATTATTATTATTATTATTGTTATTGTTATTACTACTATTTTCTTCGTGTCAGGAGCGACTCGAGAAACTGCAAGTCGCTCCTGGTGTGAGAGAATTGGCCATCCGCAAGAACGTTGCTCAGGGAATGTTGCCCGGATGTTTTTACCCGAATGGGGAGCTGGAGCTGACACGGGGAGCTCATCCATGATCTCCCTGGATTTGAACCTCCAACCAGTTGGTCTTCAGCTCTGCCGGTACAAGGGTTTAACCCACTGTGCCACCGGGGGCTTATTATTATTATTATTATTATTATACCCATTACACTACTGGGGCTCCATATTATTATTATTAGTATTGTTGTTATTATTATTATTTTCGATCTTCTAGGTTGAGATACCTGAGGATCCTGCGGCCGGTCCTGAGGTCAAATCATGAATATTTTGGCTCCTGTCAGAAGGGACCGGGTCATCACTGAATTGCCCCAAGTAAGAGGGAGAATTGTTGTTGTTGTTGTTGTTATTGCTAATTTAATAACCTTATTGTTTTCCTTATCTTCTCTTGGGGGGGCTGCAGTGTTTCAACAAAGAGGTGGCCTTGCATTCCCGGTCGGACTTCCACCCGAAAGTGACCGCCACCTGCCAAGCCCAACGGACCGGGACGGTGGGGTGAGTGCTTTGGGATCTTGTCTACACTGTCGGGTTAATCCAGTTTGATCCCGCTTTGGGGACTCAATGCTACTAGAGTCTTTTGGGATGTTGAGGGATGTTGTTCTGCTTGACCAAACCCATCCGTTACTTTCCGTTCTTCTGCAGGTTCAAGATCTCAAAGATCATTGTGGTGGGTGATCTGTCCGTGGGGAAGACCTGCTTGATCAATAGGTAATTCAGGGGATTATTATTATTATTATTATTATTATTATTATTATTTTGTAGTTGACGGAAAAGAAGCTTGATCAATAGGTAATTCAGGGGATTATTATTATTATTATTATTATTATTATTATTATTATTATTATTTTGTAGTTGACGGAAAAGAAGCTTGATCAATAGGTAATTCAGGGGATTATTATTATTATTATTATTATTTTGTAGTTGACGGAAAAGAAGCTTGATCAATAGGTAATTAAGGGGGTTGTTATTATTATTATGCGGGGTACAAATAAAATTATTATTATTATTATTATTATTATTATTATGGGGGTTATTATTATTATTACGTTGTTGTTGACGGAAAAGAAGCTTGAGCAATAGGTAATTAAGGTTATTATTATTACGTTGTTGTTGAAGGAAAAGCTTGATCAATAGGTAATTAAGGGGGTTATTATTATTATTATTACATTGTTGTTGACGGAAAAGAAGCTTGATCAATAGGTAATTAAGGGGGTTATTATTATGTTGACGGAAAAGAAGCTTGATCAATAGGTAATTAAGGGTGTTATTATTATTATTATGTTGATGGAAAAGAAGCTTGATCAATAGGTAAATTAAGGGGGTTATTATTACGTTATTGTTGTTGAAGGAGAAGCTTGATCAATAGGTAATTAAGGGCGTTATTATTATTATTACGTTGTTGTTGAAGGAAAAGAAGCTTGATCAATAGATAATTAAGGGCATTATTATTATGTTGTTGTTGAAGGAAGAGAAGCTTGATCAATAGGTAATTATAATTAAGGGTGTTGTTATTATGTTGTTGTTGACGGAAAAGCTTGATCAATAGGTAATTAAGGGTGTTATTATTACATTGTTGAAGGAAAAGAAGCTTGATCAATAGGTAATTAAGGGCATTATTATTATTATTATTATGTTGTTGTCGGAAAAGAAGCTTGATCAATAGGTAATTAAGGGTGTTATTATTATTATTATGTTGTTGTCGGAAAAGAAGCTTGATCAATAGGTAATTAAGGGCATTATTATTATTATGTTGTTGTCGGAAAAGAAGCTTGATCAATAGGTAATTAAGGGTGTTATTATTATTACGTTATTGTTGACAGAAAAGAAGCTTGATCAATAGGTAATTAAGGACGTTATTATTATTATTATTATTATTATTATTATTATTACGTTGTCGTTGAAGGAAAAGCTTGACCAATAGATAATTAAGGGCGTTATTATTATTACGTTGTTGACAAAAGAAGCTTGATCAATAGGTAATTAAGGGCGTTATTATTATTATTTTGTTGTAGTTGAAGGAAAAGAAGCTTGATCAGTAGGTAATTAAGGGCGTTATTATTATTATTACGTTGTTGATGGAAAAGAAGCTTGATCAATAGGTAATTAAGTGCGTTATTATTATTATTATTACATTGTTGTTGAAGGAAAAGAAGCTTGATCAGTAGGTAATTAAGGGCATTATTATTATTATTATGTTGGTGTAGTTGAAGGAAAAGAAGCTTGATCAATAGGTAATTAAGGGCGTTATTATTATAATTACGTTGTTGTTGAAGAAAAAGAAGCTTGATCAATAGGTAATTAAGTGTGTTAGTATTATTATTATTATGTTGTTGAAGGAAAAGAAGCTTGAGCAATAGGTAATTAGGGGGGTTATTATTATAATTACGTTGTTGTTGAAGAAAAAGAAGCTTGATCAATAGGTAATTAAGGGCGTTATTATAATTACGTTGTTGTTGAAGAAAAAGAARCTTGATCAATAGGTAATTAAGGGGGTTATTATTATTATTATWATTACGTTGTTGTTGAAGGAAAAGAAGCTTGAGCAATAGGTAATTAGGGGGGTTATTATTATTTTGTTGTTGTTGAAGGAAAAGCTTGATCAATAGGTAATTAAGGGCGTTATTATTATCATTACGTTGTTGTTGATGGAAAAGAAGCTTGATCAATAGGTAATTAAGGGCGTTATTATTATTATTATTACGTTGTTGTTGAAGGAAAAGAAGCATGGGCCTCCCCCAAAGAGGACAACCCGGGCCCCGGGAAGGCTGGGGGATGCTGGGAGTTGTAGTACTCTAAATGGGAGGATTTCTTTTCCTGTCCTTTGAAGGTTTTGCAAAGACTCCTTCGACAAGAACTACAAAGCCACGATCGGGGTGGACTTTGAGATGGAGCGTTTCGAGGTGCTGGGGGTCCCTTTCAGCCTGCAGCTGTGAGTATATATATATCTGGGGCGGCATTTGGGAATTGTAGTTTCACAGGCTTACTATTCGTAATAATAATCCTCATGGTTCTCCTGTTTCTTAGTTGGGACACCGCTGGCCAAGAACGCTTCAAATGCATCGCTTCCACCTATTACCGGGGAGCCCAAGGTCAGGCTAATGGGGGAAACTGGGGGTCAAATTCGAACCCATCCCAATCTTTAGCAGGGGATGATGGGAGTTGTAGTGTTGACGTATCCAGAGTCCCTTCTATGATGGCCCTTTCCCTCCTTTTGCAGCCATCATTATAGTCTTCGACGTGAGCGATGTGGCGTCCCTTGACCATGCAAGGTGAGTGGCTAGTGGATTATGGGACTTGTAGTCGAAGGGTGTGGTGCCTTATATTGCATTCTTCACAGTTTGGGGAACTTATTTGCCCAAACAATTGGAATTTGTAGTCCTAAGGAGTTGCCTTGTCTAGCTTCTATCATTATGTCTTTGTCCCAGGGATGATGGGACTTGTAGTCAGTTTCCCAAATAGGGTTTTCCTTCCCCAGGCAGTGGCTGCTGGATGCCCTGAAGGAGAACGACCCATCCAGTGTCATCCTTTTCTTAGTCGGGACCAAAAAGGACCTCTGTGTAAGTAGATCCCACCATCCCTGTTCCGAAATCGGGGACTTTTGGGAGTTGTAGTCCCCAAAGGAGCCCTAATGTCCCCCTTTGCAGCCTCCTGCCCAGTACAGCCTTGTAGAGCGGGACGCCCTCAAAGTGGCCAAAGAGATGCAGGCCGAATTCTGGGCCGTCTCCTCGCTGACAGGTAAGACCCAAAGGTCTTATTTCACAGATTCAAATAGTCTATTATTATTATTATTATTATTATTATTATTATTATTATTATTATTATTATTATTATTATTTGAAACACAACAAGATGAGTCCACAGCAAACAAGATCACTCTGCTGGCTGTTGTATTGGATTATTATTATTATTATTATTATTATTATTATTATTATTATTATTATTGGATTATTGGATTGTATTATTATTGGATTATTGTTGTATTGGATTATTATTATTATTATTGGATTATTGGATTGGATTATTGGATTATTGTTGTATTGGATTATTATTATTATTATTATTATTATTATTATTGGATTATTGGATTGGATTATTGGATTATTGTTGTATTGGATTATTATTATTATTATTATTGGATTGTATTATTGTATTATTATTATTATTATTATTATTATTATTATTATTATTATTATTGAGCCCCCTGGTGGCACAATGGGTTAAACCTTTGTGGTTTGAATCTGGGGAGAGTGTGGCTGAGCTCCCTCTGTCAGCTCCAGCTCCCCATGCAGGGACATGAGAGAAGCGTCCCACAAGGATGGTAAAGCATCCGGGCAGCGTCCTTGCAGATAGCCAATTCTCTCACACCAGAAGCGACTTGGCAGTTTCTCAAGTCGCTCCTGACATTATTATTATTATTATTATTATTATTATTATTATTATTATTATTATTATTGGATTGTTGTAGGTTTTCCGACTATATGGCCATGTTCTAGAATTTGACTCACTGCCACATTGTTGGATCATCAAATGTCTAGATGTCATCAGGATTTGTGAAAATATTAGAACAAGCTAGTCAAGGTGGTCCCAGTAGTGATCGGCACACTGGGTGCAGTGCCTCAAGACCTTGGCCTACACTTAAAGACAAAATCGCCACTTGTCCGCAGCAAAAGGCCACCCTACTTGGATCTGCACGCATTATTCGCTGATGCATCACAGTCTGAGACACTTGGGAAATGTCTGATGTGTGATCCAATACAACAGCCAGCAGAGTGACCTTGTTTGC